ACACACATACACTCTCACACTTTCACCCTTACCTGTCAACCTTTTCAAAAGACGTGCAAAATCTTAAACTACTAACTTTGTACTTTGCTTTCAGGGTAATTGACTGTAAGTGATTGTGTTCATTCTTCTTCCATTTTCCTTCTCTTGGTAAGCCAGAGAACCAAACACGCCTCCACCGAATGCAAACATAGCATCATATAATTACATCCTTCCAGTGGCATAACTAGGATCTTACAGGCCCCAGTGCAGAAGCAATTAATGGCCCCCATATGAAAATTACTTTAAATTAATAGAAAAATAAATAGCTTTACATACCATTTTCTCAGATGCCTGAGACATTTGCACAGTAGTTTGTGTATATTAGGATATTGTTGTATGTTTAAAATAAAAAATATTTCCAAATGTTAAACTGTATATCTTTCTCCTGTGCTACCAAACACCCATCCATTAAGTATTACAGTATCATAACCAGCTTAGTCACTTAATCCTCCATTCTATATGATTTTCTAAATACCTCATATAAACACATAAAGTTAAAGCTCAGTGATACGTTTATCTGAGCAGGAATTGCAAATGTAAGTTTATGTGGACAAAAGCGTTCCACATGATTAAACACTGTTGGGTTCTGTTTCAATAAAATAGGCTGGGCTCTCAGAGAAAAAGGTAATGAACTGTCACTGGGGTGGTATCCTCAAGAGTACATTTCAGTACCTTTAGTCATGGAACATAATTGTACCATAATCCACTGAAATGATATTTTCTAAGTTGTATTGACTCCACACAACTCGTCTCGTCTCCAGGCTTTTATTTTATTGTTCTGTTTTACAACATCAGGTTATGAAAAGATACATTTATGTACTTTTCACCTGGAAAAACCTATTTAAGGTGCACAATTGGACCTTAAAAGCACTGTTGTACCTTCGAGGATATATTACATTGTTTGTGCCTTGATGAACGAAAATTGTACCTGCACAGAACCTTTATTTCTAACAGTGTAGGAAGTAGAACCAGGACTGTTTTTTGTAAGTAAACGCTGAACATGCCAAAATAGGCAAAAAAGATCATCTCAATTAATGGTAGGTTAATCCGAAATTTCCTGATGAAGAGAAACAGCCTAACCTTACAACAGTATCAGCCAGCTAGATAGAGTGATTAATGATAGAGTCATAGTGGTGAGTAGAGGAGGCTAAAGACTGACCTGTTACTCACTTGCTGAATTAGTTATTCTGAGCACACTCTCTTATTCCGTCTCAACTCCACTCTTCTGTCTTCTTCTCTTCAAAGTTGTGACCGCAAGGCTGTGCTAGATGACTGGCTAAGCTAGCTCACCAGCTAGTCCTGCTGCACGTCTCTGATCAAACACTATTCTCAGATCTAATCATTACCACATATGTGCATTAAAAAGACCAACTGCAGGAGGGATTAGGGGGCGAAGGAGGGGGTTTACTGATGTCTTAATGGAGTTTGCTGCACATTGCTCTAGATTAATTCATGTTTAGCACAATAGGCCTGGACAGTCCAGCTAACAGGTCAGGCTACCGGCTGGAAAATCTCTCGGTTCTCTTGATGGGAAGTCTGAGCCTGGAGGGTCCCAATAGAAAAAACATGGGACCCACTGCGACTGGCCCAACTGCCCCTTTGGTAGTTGCGCCATTTCATCCTTTCTTTCCAGTGAGCACAAAGCGTAGTAAGTAAGGAGTGAGAAGGATGCAGTGTTGAGCACTTTACTCTACTGGGAGAGTGCGGTAGATCAGTATGGCTCATGTACAGTAATGGGAACTTGTTTAACTGAACCAAGTCTTTTCTGTTCACTGAAAAGCTAATAACTGGCAGCAAATGAGAAACAGGTTTCTGGCACCAGTTTCTAATATTGCCATTTATCTTCCAGCTGCTTTACCTTTTTCTTGGCTTTAAAAATTACAGCCACTACAGTGGAATCCATAGATCAAAAGATGGATGCCCACCCTGTAAAGCCTGACTGAAATTCATGTTGACGCTGTGCTGTGGAATTTTCTTTGAGTCGTCTCAACATAACGTGGAGATGTGAACTGACTGCTGTGTAATCTACGGGTGGATTCCTTTTAGTCTTGAGCCTGTGCTGTAACCTTTGGATGGGTATATTTTTAGAGGAAGGGTTCCTCTTACCTACTCTACCTTTTTATTTCCCATATTCCCATATATTTAAACTTTGAAGGTGTGGAAAAATAAGGACACAGTAAATACTGAAAAAAATAATATTATATTTAGTTTGCAGTAACAAGTACAAGCTATGCTCTAGTGGTCTGATGTCTATACCACCCAGCAGTACTGCTTCACATCAACAACAGCACCATATCGACCTATATAACACATTTAGACACCTACAATCACAGTCAAGTCATGTCAGTTTTATTCATATGTATCATCCCAAAGCAGCTTTATAATAATTTGTGTCCAGCCTCTCGGTGAGCCAGCTGGCAGGAAAAACTCCCTGAGATGTTAGAAGGAAGAAACATGGAAAGAAGATAAGCTAACTGCAGCAGTTCTTACATTCTTGAGTTAAATTCTTCTTGACAGACCAAAGTGTGTCAGGCTGTTTATTGCAGAGGCCTGCTGGTGGAAGCAGTGCTGATGGGTCGTGAGGGGAGGAACACAAATGCAGGAGGAAGTGTCTTCACTCTTAAACATAAAGGCTTTCATAAATGATTCTTGGCTTTCAAAGCGTTTCACATTACATACATCTAATTTAAAAAAGTACTGTAAGGTTCTGTAAGGAACCAAAAGTGGTTCACCTGTGGTGTCGCTCCAAAGAACCTTTTTAGGAGTGTAGACAAGGCCTGAAGATCAGAAGGGCCAGTAGGTGTGGGAGGCATGTTGGTATGAACGCAAATACTGCTGTAATGCTGTCAGTGACAAAGATTTGGTGTCACATGTAAGAGAAAAAATTAAATTAATTACTACTTCTACCACTGCAAATAAATAATAATAAAAATAATGATAATAATAATAATAATAGATTTTACAATCACACGTCTCTCTCTACCATCTCGCATTTATGGGACAAATTTATATAACAATATTTTCCACTATCCAGATGATAATTCTATGATGATATACATCATACTATTTGTTTACATTTTTATGGCCGTATGTGACCTGTGTATGTATATGGCATTTCGAACAGCATGATAGGTGAAGAGAGAAAGAGAGAGAGAGAGAGAGAGAGAGAGAGAGAGAGAGAGAGTAGCGCGTCACAGTTTGCTGTGACAGATGGTGCAGGAGATTCGGCCCATGAGCCATTATGCAAGAAGTGTGAATTTCAGCATGTCACAAGTAGCCCACATCTCCACCGCCACAACAACGGCAGCAGTTATCAGTGAAAGATGCGCGTGCATTTGTGTTTGCTTGTGTAATGGAGCAAACTAGTATATAGGCTTTTGGCTTAGTGTCTGTTTGGCTTAGAGTCTGATGAAAGTGCTACTACGTTCTGCACTGCTAACGTAGCCTCTGGGTCACTTGTTATGGAGCATGTTTATGATGGCACTTGTTACTTGCGATTGTCTCATATTTAAGATGTTTTAACTTTTGAATCAACAAAATCAACAAAATGTCAAAAAAAACCAAACAAACAAACAAAATTGACTATAACTGTAATAATGTAATATATTGAATTCATGCAGAAATAGTGTATATGTTTGAATGAAATCATTTCAGTGTATTGACTTTTTCAGTATACGGGCCACTGGAGGACTAAACGTTTCTAAATTTGTCACAAATGGGTGAAGTTTGTGTTTATGTACGAAAGTAGAGTTATGCTATAAGAGAGAATACTAAAAGAAAATGATAGATTGAGCCTAAAAAGGCAGTAACATCCAGTACTGTAATATAAGCCTGTGATATAGGAGGCATTTGGATGAAGGGCATGACTGGGAAGGAAGGAGTGCCTATATAGCAGGTGAGGTGGAGGTGTCTCCTGTTTCAAAGCGAAAGTTCCTTGTTTACACAACCACAGACGCAGCTACCATTCAAACCTGCCCCGAGCAGACTGCTCCTGCCAGCCATTCTCTAGACTAGCATATGATGACCTCAAACGTGTTGTTGCAACTTGTTGGGAAATATCTTCTTTTACAGTCTGTACATGCAAACACGACTGTTGATTTTTGAAGCCATCAAAGTGTGGTTTAAAGCAACAGCACTGACATGACGCGCTATTCTGGGTAAATGATTGGTCTCCGGTCCGCTTTCATCAGAGCAGACTTTGTCTGCATTGCACTTTGAGCTTTTTTTTTTTTCCACGATGGCTGATAAGATTTGGAGGAAGAGTTGGGAGTTCTTTGGGAACAGGAGCCCTTTCTTTAGAAGACGGGGTGTGGAGAAGAAGAGTGAGTGAGTAAGGCTTTTAATTAACATAGTCAGTAAGGTGTTGGTAGATTGAGCGGAGGTGCTCCTACCATATGTCATGGGTTTTCTAATGGCCTGCCAGAAAATCGCTGTGTCGTCAGAACGGAGTATACCTGATGGATTTGTCACATCATTTCTGACTGCTAGTCTGAATAATTGTTCTCGGCTTTGCATACGGTTTAATAATTTCTGACAGCTTTAATTTCAACAGCAAGGCGTTATGTTCTCTAAAGTAAGTTCTGTGATCTTATGTTGTGATGTAAACAGGTGAACACTTGTAAAAGGTTTTATGTAATGTTTTGACTCTATGAAAGGTACGGTTTTCTGCTTGGGTTGTCCTTGACTTTTCTCTCGGACTGTTTCCAGTTGACTTACTTCTTCATTTTCAGCAATACTGACTGATTGTGTTGTGAAATGCAGTTAGTTTTTCCCATTCTTCTCGCTGTTACCGTTTGGATTTCGTAAGGGAAAGCATGCAATATGCCAGTAGTTTGTTCTGCCGCATTAACCTTACTGCCTAGAGTCCAAGATTACTGTGCACTTTGGTGTACAGAGTGAGTTGCAGTCTTTTTTGTGTTTTATATTAATATTTAATGAATTGCTTTATCTGTGTTTTACAGTGTGGAGGGGGAAGTTCAGAGCAGTGAGCCGGCCCCTTCTCTGGACCGTGGGACGGGCTATGGCCCCCTGACCCACAGTTCCTCCATCAGCCCCGACACGTTCGACCCCTCGGGGTACGGCCAGACCGCCCAGCCCGGCCCTCAGCGTCCGCGGAGGCCCAAACTCCAGCACTCGCAGTCCATCCTCCGCAAACAAGCTGAAGAGGAGGCCATCAAACGCTCACGCTCACTGTCCGAGAGCTATGAGCTCTCCACTGATCTGCAGGACAAGCAGGTATAATTGAGAAAATAGATACATGGCATTTATTGGCTGTTAGCACACTGTGCTAATCAGAATCAGAAAGATTTCTGTGTATTTATGTATGTAGAGATGTATGTATATATGTATGTAAAGATGTATATATATATATATATATATATATATATATATATATATATATATATATATATATATATATGTATGGCATGTGCCCCAAAAGATGACAGCGAGAGCTGGCGGGAAGGCAGGGCCCGAACTCGAGTAAGGACAAAGCCCAGTGAGAACGGCGGGAAGAGGAGAACTGCGAGTGAGTGGGGGACGGCGCACAAATCTCGAGCCCTGTCTTATGGGTGCCCCCTCTGGTCCTGCAGCAAGATCACTTTAATTTGCCGTATGTCCGACCCAGGCGGCCGAGCTGCGGAGCGGGGGCAGTGACTGGGAGGCGGGGTTCGAGGACTCGGCGCTGTCCTGAACGCCCTCACGGTTCTCCTCTCCCTGCTGTCCGCGTACAGCTTTGTCCTCGCTCTGTGTTTAGGCCCTGCCTTTATGCTGACTCTCGCAGCCATCATCGGGGCCGGGGGACAGGCTTGTGCCACAATATGCAAACTAGGGATGCAAATTTTGGCAAATTCTTTTGACTAACAACCAACTGTCAATAGTCAGAGACTAATAGCTAACCAGCAAGCCTAAAATCAAAGTTGTGATGCATCAAAACACAAATTATAAAATGCATTTCTAGTTCTGAAATCTGATTGGCTGTGCCTCATGTAGCCACTCTAAAGTACTTGATATAAAATACTGTCCAACCTATTGCATATATGTTAATGATTGCATGACTAAAAACTAAAAAGTTTACAAACTGACTGCAATATACAAAGATGGGCTCCTGAAAGGCCTATATTCTAAATTTCTATAGGTATTTGGTACTTATCACTAGCCCACGATAAACCAAACATAAGTGCAATGGCCAGGTCAAGCTTTAGCTCAGCATACCTCAATAGCCCTCGAAAGATGTTGCTGTCCGTGTCCTTCTCTCTAACTTTGCACACACATGTGTGGCTTCCTCACACTGCCATGCATCACACTAGTGTCTCTGAGAACTTGGATGAAATAGTCTTCTGCCTTATTGTTTGTAGATGTTTGCTTTTGGTATGGTACAGCTACCGCCCTCTTTAAAAGTGTCCTCCCGCTATTTTTAGCTCTGCTTCCCTTTTTTAGTAGGCCTGTCAGGCAGAACCCTTTGCCTATTGCTCCCTCAAGCATACAACTCAAAAATGTTTCTCAACTTGAATGAAAACCTATTTAAACTGATGTTTATTGGAAATTAAATAAAAATAATGTGTTTTTAACCATTGTTCAAAGAATTGTTTATTTGTCGCTGTTTTAGTCAGTTACTCATTTTAGCCATAAAAATTGAGAGTGATTGTGTGCATGCATTTTCTAAAGCCACTTCGTCTTGTCGGTTCTCTCAGGTGGAGATGCTAGAGAGGAAATATGGCGGGCGTTTCATCAGCCGCCATGCCGCTCGCACCATTCAGACAGCGTTCCGCCAGTACCAAATGAACAAGAACTTTGAGCGTCTCAGGAGTTCCATGTCAGAGAACCGCATGTCGCGGAGGATCGTTCTGTCCAACATGAGGATGCAGTTTTCCTTTGAGGGACCTGAGAAAGTCCACAGTTCATTTTTCGAGGGCAAGCAGGTGTCTCTGACTGACGAGGGCGGTCAGATGGGACCCATGGTGCAGACCGAGAGTGGGGACATGGTCCCTGTGCACATTGCTGCACCTTCAGCCACGAACGACCTCAGCGATGCTATCACAGAGCTTGAGGATGCTTTCTCTAGACAGGTTAAATCATTGGCAGAATCTATTGATGATGCCCTGAATTGTCGGAGTTTGCATGAAGAGGAGGGCCGGCCAGAGCAGGTTCAGGACATGCAAGTGAAGTTGCCCTACCAGGTGAAACCTGTCCATGGCGCTGACCGACGCAAGCTTGATGAGATGATGGCTTCCTACAGCGATGTGACTCTCTTCATCGACGAGGAGGACCTTTCTCCCCCCATCCAGCTTACCCACCACTCAGCAGACCCGGCATCGAGCACCGAGTCCGACCAGCGTGCCCAATCCGTCAACTCCTCGCAGGAATACTGGCCCATAGACAATAAGGAGGACAAAGTGGACACAGACACCAGCTGCCGGAGCACCCCATCACTGGAGTGTCAGGAGCCGAGACTTCGTATGGACCACCTGCCGCTGCTAACCATCGAACCACCCAGTGACAGCTCGGCGGACATGAGTGACCGCTCCGAGATCGACTCGGTAAAGAGGCAGAATGTTTACGAGCGGACCGTGGCCGGACCACAGGCCAGTCCCAAACACACAGCACACGGTCTACCTCCTAGAGGGCCCTCCCTCTCACGGGATGAGGAGCCAATCAGGCACAGGCACCGGCAGCTGGAGAGCCACCTGGCCATCAACGGGAACCGACAGAGCAAGTCGGAATCAGACTTTTCTGACGGGGATAACGACAGCATCAACAGCACGTCAAACTCCACCGATACCATCAACTGCAGCTCAGAGTCATCGTCACGGGACAGTGTGAGGGAGCAGACGCTCAGCAAGCAGACGTACCACAAAGAGACACGCAACAGCTGGGACTCACCCGCCTTCAGCAATGACATCATCCGCAAACGGCACTACCGCATAGGCCTCAACCTTTTCAACAAGTATGTATTCAACTGCTGGGAAAGTCCTTAACTGAGGAATTGGGCTTAACATGCTCCTGAAGTAGATGCTGAGTTCATTTTATTTGGTTTATTTGTTGATTTAGCTGTTAATTGTACTTCACTTACCTTTAGTCTTTCCTAAAGCTGGCCTAATGCTTGTTGTTTCGATTTATTTAATAACTTAATAATTATTCAATCTAATGGGTGTCCTTAGTGGTAAGAAGCCACATTTTAGGCTCTGTCTGGAAGTCTTACTTTCTTTGTATTATAATCAGGAAAAAGTGAATAGAGGGTAAGAATTCTATATGCATATATTTTATATGCAGTGGCTAGATTAGCTGTAAATATATAAATATAAATATTGGTTGGTTGGAGTGTAACAATTAAAAAAAGAAGAGAGGCCTAATTCCATTGTTTATCCATGACAAACATACTAAAAACTAGTGCACTAAGAACAGTAAGTAAGTATTGACAAGTCTGTTAAACAAATATGCTCTTTGGTCAAACCTGCTCAGAACATTTTTTATATATATTTTTTCACATTTTAGAATAGAAATGATGAGGTCAAAGCAATAAAATCATTTGTATGGAACTACTCCATAAATATTGATCTTCTACCAAATAGGTAGGGGTGTAACAATTTACAAAATGTATTATTTGATTCTAAACCGAGACAACACTGAAAAAACATAAAATCCAAAATGTGGCATAACTTTTGCACAGGACAATTTATTCCTTTTTTTCCTAATATGTTAAATTCAGCAAAGAAACAGTAATTGTGGATTAAAATGCACAGAAGCGTGTTCCCTGTAGAGTATGTGTTCACTTATTTTCGGTTAGAAAATCAACAAAAACATGGAATTTGACCAGGGGCACCCAGACTTTTGCATTAGACTGTATACAGTGCCAGTTATTGTTATTGATTACATTTTTTTTATTTTTTATAAAAACAAACGCAATATTTTAAATTTAGCCAATAAATAGAAAATATGCACTACAATTTGTAATAAAAAAAGATTGTTTTCTGTTGAGGATGTGTTCAGAAAACTACAAAATATGTAACTGAACCATGTTGTTAAAGTTTTGCATGTGACTGTATATTTGAACTAGCTGTACTAACAGTAAACATAAGACAGTGTTTTCACTTTTTTTGTGTCCAAAACACAGACAGTGCATCGGTATGATTACTATACAAACATAATTCAAGTGCAGTATTTCAGTAATGTTTAACTTCGTAGAATCTAAGCTGTTTATGTTCACTCATCTCGGGGGGGATCCCCTGTAAGACCACACCATCATATGGAGTGGAGTTCTGGTTTATTTTTGTGGGGAAATTATCTTAACATCAGCATGCCCCCCTCCCACAATATGACTTATGCACAATAGAAGTCTGCCTTAGGTGCTGACTCTGTCCTGTTCTTTATTAGCCTTAGTCTCCAGCCTGTCAGGGCAGAGAATTTGATATTAGAGTAGGGTACTGTGCAAAAGTAAAGAAAGACCACCTGTCATTTATTTAATTTCCAGTCAAAACAGCCAATAAGTACAAATGATTAATTTTCAGGAGATATTTCTGAGGACATTATATGAAAGATAATCCACTTGCATGAGGAAGGAGAAAGTCAAAGGAAAGTAAGTGAAAAAGCAGGAGTTTCCAAAACTGGAGTTCAAAAAATGATTAAAAGCTAAAGAGAAAACTGGACTCTTAACAACCACCTGGAAGACTTGGTAGACACCAAAACTGTCCCCATTAGATAAACAGCACTTAAAGCTTTCAGCTTTGAGAGTGAGGAGAAAATCAAGCTGCTTCAGATCTGAAAACATCCACAGATGATTCTGTCCATCCTTCCACTGTGAGAAGACAACTCAGCGCTATGGGTCTGAAAGGATGTGTAGCTGTCAAGAAGCCTCACTGAGAAAAGAAGACAGACACATCAAAAAAGAAGCTAAAAATGGACTGAAAACCTCAGAGTCCAGACCTCAACATCACTGATTATGTTTGGGATTACTTGCAAGCAGAACTTCTAAGATTGAGCTTTAGAGGTGTGGAAAAACATCCCTGCAGACTTCTTTAAAACTGAAACCAAGTCTCCTGAAAAGAATGGAAGCTGTAATAAAGGCAAAGAATGGACAGTAAGTACTGAAAAGATTAAAATTAATTGCTGCTTCGACTGGAAATTAAATAAAAGAAGGGCTGTCTCTGACTTCTGCACAGTACTGTACTACACAGGTTCTGTTGATGCTTCCTCAAAGTTTTATTTTGGCACTCCTGTTGTTTTGATTTCTTTTGAATGTTATTTAATGTGTGTCCTTTGAGGAGAGAACCTACATTTTAGGTTCCATCTTACTAAGCATCTTACTTTCTTCATCTTATGTTCTCATCAAGAAAATGTAAATGCACACACGTATTGCCGAGGTGTCTCAAAGGTTGTCACATAGAGTGGAAGGGGTGAGGTGGAGTGAGCAGACTTCAGGGTTGACATTCAGCTGTTGATGATCCACTTTCAGAAAGCCAGAGAAAGGAATTCAGTACCTGACTGAGAGGGGGTTCGTTCCGGACACACCTGTGGGAGTGGCACACTTTCTGCTTCAGAGGAAGGGGCTGAGCCGGCAGATGATTGGCGAGTTCCTGGGGAACCGACAGAAACAGTTCAACAGGGATGTTCTAGAGTGAGTTTTTACCTTCTTCTTTGTAAAAGTAATGTAATCTGCACTTACAGGAGTTATCTGGATTTCCTATTTTGATATTGTCTGATATGATATCAAATATATAAGTGTGTGCTACTGTTCTAGGTTTGGCTCATTTTCTGTGATATATGGGCTTGTTTACCATCGTCACCACTGAAGGTGTGAATGGTTCTGAGCTCTGAGACTTTTCCTGAGGCGTTTCCACAGAAAACCCAAAAACCGCGCTCAGCACAGTTTTCTTGACACGGTTAGCTAACTGTGCTCAGGGCCACAAAACCATTTGGTGGGATGACCCTGCTAGACAAAACAGCCCAGACCAGCATGGCTGGTCACCAGTAAAACCAGTGTGTGGTGTGTTGTGTTTTGGATGCTGTTATGCTGGTCGAGCTTGACCATGCTGGGTGACCAGCTGAACAGCTCCAGACCAGCACTAGACTAGCTTAGACTGGCAGAGAATTCATGCTGGCCTGTCCTGGTTGTTTCAGCAGGGACTTAATGATGTAGCTCTTTGCCACCTCATCAACCGAAAACAGTCAAATAAGTTCACTTTGCATACACAGTTGCCAAGTAAATGAAGAAGTGCATGTTTCCATCCTTTATTTAATAAATATCAAGCCATCAGTTTAATGACAATTATTAAATGTTAGTAGGAGGAAGGAGCTGGCTAGCATTGGCTTAGCATTGACTGATGTGAGTTTAGATGCTAATATAATCTGAGGAAGTTGAGCAGCAGGTGTTGGAGTGACAGAAAGCTGAAATTGAACCTGCTAGCTACGCTAATGCTATCCTATTCTCGTGCACTCCTAGTTAGCTTAGCTATTGAGCTACAGATCCAAACAGTGCCACACAGTACAGTGCAGGTTTGTTTCCAGCTAAGTGGTGCTCAAATGATACAGAGGATAAAAGGCTCAATACAGCTGTGGGAACTTGTCTCTACAGTGGAAAAAAGGCTGTGGAAAGTTTTTCACCCCAATTTTTGATGCGATTTACACTGTACATCACTCCCATTGAACAGTGGATGAAAAGTGAATGTTACCACATGAAAAAGCAAAATTTAGCTTTGTGGCAAACAATAAATGATAAAGTCTGCATTTGGCAGATGTATAAGCTTGTAGAAGCAAACACAGGCAAAAAAAATCAGCTTGAGTGATAAATACAACTTATCGGCCCTCATCTGTCCCATACAACAATGGGAAAGGACCACCATAGCATCCGTACTGAAAAAGGGTTTCTTCAGCTCAGCAATGACACTGATATGGTAGTGCTGGGCTGCTAAGAGGCACAGCAGCATTGAGTTTGTAAAGACTGTGTACAGCATGTTTCACAAAGTTCTTCAACAGAGTTGATGGCAAATTAGATGTATTTACTGGAGATGAATTGGCTCGCTGCCTTTAAAATCTTAATCCCCACACAAGCGCCTACGGTTTCCTCATTATAGTGTCTTTCCAGATAATATCAATTAGGGCAGTGTCTGTGAAAGCAGTCTACATCATGTCCTCTGAGTATTTGCTGCTTGTCTGTACAGATTCCCTCTTCATCAACTCAAGCAGTGTCTGGCTAATTAAGTCCAACCTACTCTGGAAATGAATTCATCTCCTGAGCTGGCAGCTGTTCACACGTTTCCATGCTACATAGATTTCACACACAGCCATTAGTCATTCATCAGCGGATACCTTAGTGAACCAGAGTAGTCCCTGCAGAAATCATCTGGAGGACAAAAACGTCAAGGGACACTTGATCAAGCTGTAGATTTTTTACTTTTCTCCACAGCTGAGATTTTTCTTTTCACTTTTACTTTTTAAACTTCACTTGAAATCTTGCATTGGCTATTGTTTAGTGTGCTATTGCAGTTAAAAGGTGAAAGTGAGCTCTGCTGATTGAAATGTTGTTGATTTGCATGCTGTTTTTTCAGCTGCGTGGTGGATGAGATGGACTTCTCAGGGATGGAACTGGACGAAGCTCTCAGGAAATTCCAGGCACACATCAGGGTCCAAGGAGAGGCCCAGAAGGTCGAGCGCTTAATCGAGGCTTTCAGGTGAGGGGACGCCCTACTCCGCCGAGCCTCCATTTCCTCAAACCTCTATTGCAAAACAGGTTTTGTAGCGTTGCAGGGATGTTCATGCGAGAGAATTTAATTAGTAAAAAGTAAACCTAGCTTTAAATAGCTTTATATAGCTTTATGTACAGCTTGTATACCAGCTAGCTAGTATTGGTGGATGATATGGCAAAGTTATCATGATACTTCAAGATGTTACAGTATTGTATTTCCTTGATGTCCTAAGTCCGGAGTCTGAATCGAGTATCGAGTCAGTCAACTGAGACTCGAGTCACAAGTCACTGTACTGATATGACATGGTCTAGATATGTAGTAAAATACTAAAGATGTTCCGCCCCCATTTTTCTCATCAGCCAACGCTACTGCATCTGCAACCCAGGAGTGGTGCGGCAGTTCCGAAACCCAGACACCATCTTCATCCTGGCCTTTGCCATCATCCTCCTCAACACAGACATGTACAGCCCCAATGTTAAGCCAGAGCGCAAGATGAAACTTGAAGACTTTGTCAAGAACCTTAGAGGTGAGCAAGAGAATGGAAGCATTTCTTCAAACATGGGCAGTTTTGGCTGTTCATATTTTTAGAAAAACAGTGAAAATGTCACGGTCAAATGTCATACCACAGCACAATGTTGCAAAAAGAACACATTGTGGTAAAGACTTTTTCTGTTTTTGAGTATAACTAATCTAATGCATTTGAAATCAGTTATGGGACATAAATAAAACTGATATTTTGACCCAGAATATGCTTCATAAATTACAGTGCATTATATTTAGCAACTACTTTGTGTTTGAAAATATGCTAAGGCAGTAATAAACTGTTTTTTTGCAAAACTTTACCAAAAGGCAGCATTTATAAGGCTATATAAGCCTTTCATGACAACTGACATAAACTTGTATACATATATTTATAAAGACTTATTCCAATAAGTGTCAATCATTCCAGTACTTGCTGAGGTGAAATGACATCAAAATGACAACTGACATGGAATAAGCCTTTATGTTTGTGAAGTTTAATGCCAGTTCTCATGAAAGGCCTATGTACATGTCGTGTAGCTTTGTGCTGCCCTATTTTCAATGCTAAAAATGTGAGCATACACTCACTGAACACTGTATTAGGAACACCTCAGTGTCACTGCAGTGCTGAGAATGATCCACCGCCCAAATAATACTTGCTCTGTGGTGGTCCTATGGGGTCCTGACCATTGATGAATGGGATAAAAAGTGGCTAACTAAGCATGCAGAGATACAGAAGGACTGCAGTCTGTAATTATAGAACTGCAAAGTGCTCCTATATGCTAAGTGGGGCTGATAAAATGGAAAATGAGAGTGGATTCAAGGTGGTGTTCCTAATAAAGTGCTCAGTGAGTGAATATTCAAAATTCCACTGCCAGGACCTGTAGCTCCAGAAACACCCTCATAGGTTTCACATTTGTTGAAGTCATTAAAAGCTCTTTTGTAAAGGTCAAAAGATCAGCTTCATTTTAATCATTCAGTGTTCCTAGGTTATTAGGGATGTTCATTGAGGGAATTCTGAATGATTCGGCCAATTTAAGGACAAGATTAAAGAAACGTTGTGGAATAAAGAAGTTACGCTTATTGTTTCACTTAGAAACTTTGTTGCATGTTGTCAAATTAATAGAAATAATCTACACACCTATCTTCCTTACTCTGTATGTGCACCTTTTAGGGGTTGACGATGGTGAGGACATCCCTCGTGAGATGCTGATTGGCATCTATGAGCGTATTCGTCAGAAGGAGCTAAAGACTAATGAAGACCATGTGTCTCAGGTTCAGAAGGTGGAGAAGCTCATTGTGGGAAAGAAGCCGGTAAGTGCTGTAAAAATACAGTCAGACTTCATTTCACTTCATCCACAGTTCTGCTTTCATTCCGGAATCCTACTTGAATGGTCCTCATAAACTTGTGAATTTCCAAGTTTACAATAAGGAAGTTGCTGTTGAATGTCTGAAACAGTTGTAAATACAAGAGGTAAACTTGGGCAAGTTCCATGTTATCTGAGTTTATGACTTATATTGCCAGCCAGAATATTGTCTGAATATTGTGTACTTGAATACAGGAGTCCAAGCTGGTAAACAGTGCACCAATGGTACTTATCATGACCCTTCAGTGTCTATTAAATTGTAACATTAAATGGGAATTTGACAGATTTTTCAAAATTTCAGCATAATTTAGTTATTGAGATATAAACAAAATCATTCAGTGTGATTTGGTGTGAAATGGTTCATTGTAGAGAAACTTATTGACTCTTACTACTGATTTCTTTACAGTGGTGGTGATAGGAACCAGTGGTTGTGATGTCTACTACACAAATGTAGCCATTTTATTTACTATCCAGTGAATCTACACAAATCGTTTTACCTCACAACGTCTTGCATGTATTTCTTCGCCAAAAAAATTATTGTAAAAATGTTTTTGGCCAAAAATGTGCCTTAAAACTATCAAACACAATGTCTCAGGCATCAGGTAGTGTATTCATATCATAACCATTTCATGTAATAACTTTTAGTGATGGAACTTTTAGAGGCATTAAACATTTCAGATGTCTGGTTCCTATTACCACCACTGTTTCTGGTTTCTCCAGAACGGCATATTTCACAACAAACCACTATAAATGATTTTGTTTACATCAATTAATTATACAGAAATTTTGAAAAATCCATAGAATTCTCCTTTGGTCCATCTCCGTCATTGGTCCATCTATGTGAATATAAGTATAGTTCATTTGACAAAACTGACTGCTGACAGAACAATAATTCCCAATTGTTAACAACAAATTAAAGATGGTCTCACTTGTTTAGCCCAAAAACAGGACCTGATTCCTTTACATTATATAAAACAGTAAATGACCCATAAATATCAGTAAAAACATCTTGATTCAGACACTGAATGTTTCACCTTTTGAAGAATGGTTTCCACAAGATTTGATTCTGTTTAGTATTGAACTAAAAAGATGCTAAAAAGATTTAATTGATCTTGTCCAGTATGTTCTGCATCAGTGACTGTTCAGGGCCTAATAAAGCCCTTGCCTCGATCACTGTGAGATTCAGGGATTAACATAATCTAATATGCCACTGTATAAATGACTGATAAAACAGATAAACAATCAAATTGTCATACATAATAAAAGCTGAGTTTTGAATACGAGTCTTTGTTGTGCACCTTCATTTCTGAAAGTGTGTTTATAATTTTACGAACATAATTTCTCTTCTTGTTTTTCAGATTGGTTCTCTTCATCATGGTTTGGGTTGTGTAAGTTTACTCTAGTGTCTTCCACTTACTGTGTATGTTGCATGATATGAGTTACAAATTTTACACACATGCAAAACTATTTTGTTGCTGTAAAAAATAGCATGGCCTTTGGAAGGGAACCTATTTCTAAATTCCAGTCATTTATAATGAAACAGAAACTGAAAGGAAAACATCTGTGAATCTGGCACAATGTCTAGTAAATGTCATTTCTCTGAAATGGTAACTTCATAGAAGAAGGAGAAAACTCTTAACTTCAGTGTACAAACCTCATTTCCAAGAAAAGGTGGGACAGCATGTGAAATCACAACAGAAAGCAGTGGTTAGTAAATGACTCTGTATGACCTGTATTAAATTGAAAACAGTTCAAAAACATATTTGACAGTTTATCTTATGAACTTTGTTGCTTTTTTTAAACATACACTCATTCCAAATTATGCCTGCAGCATGATCCAAAAAAGCTGGGACAAATTTTGTCTACCACTGCATTACATCACCTTTCCTTTTAACAGCACATAATTTGGGGGCTGAAGACAAAAAGTGATCCAGTTTTGAAAGTTTGTTCTGTTGTACAGCTTTAAGTCTGTTGTGGGTCTTCTGTTGCGCAATCGTACGAAACTTTTGTTATATTTTGCGCTTCATAATGAAGGTGTTCTAAAATGTTGCCTTCACAGATGTGCAAATTACCCACTATACAGCCTCATATAGATAGACTGATTTTTCAACTTTACCCTGGTAACAATCTGCATGGTCTTTTTTTCTTCTTTTACCTGGAGAACACAGAGGTCATTATTTCCATAAACAGTCTGAAAAGTTGACTTGACTGACCACAATACACGTTTCTGCTGTCCACTTTAGCTGAGTCGGTGGCAGTTGATTGCAAGCTTCAATTTCAGAATGAGCAAATATTTACAAAGAACAATGAAGTTAAAAAGGTAACACATTAAATATATTGTCTTTGTACAGTTTAATCTTAAAAAAAGTCCACAGTGGATTTACAAATTACAATTTTTTATACTGTCCCAACTTTTTTGGAAGTGAGGTGTGTATGTCAATGTAATATTTCATTCCTAGACTTTTGGACTTTTTCTTTTGGTCCTTTTGTCAGGAAATGTTCACAAAATGTAAAGCAGACCTGACATTAAAAATTAATAAATAAATAAATACGTAGGCTAAAACAGATCTGATATAACTGCAGTGATATTTAGACATGCTGTTTCCAAAATAATACGTTTATCCTTTTCCCACAAGGTTGTATGGCTGCACAGTCAGCCTAGCTCTGCTATCTCTGGAAAGAGTCAATAACAATAAATTCCAAGTTTGCAGTGTGTTGCCTTGTTTACAGAGCGGAAGCTGACTTAAGCACGTTGCAGCCTCTGAGGTCATTTGGCTTTTAGTCTCTGCAGTAATCTCGGATAAGGCACCTATTACTGACCACCCACAGGTCTTACGCACTGCCCCCAGATGTGTTTGCCGAGTTCATTATTTACATTATTTGAGTCAAGCAGATAAGCATACAAGCATGTAATCTTCTGAATAAGGTTTTAAAGGGGAACGTTTCTCACAGTAAATTAAAAATTAAGTAGATCAGAAACAATACAGGCCTCTTGAGGCTTGTAACATAAGATTTATTATACATAATGCTTATATTGTGTGGATGATTTCATATATAATACTTATGGTACATGTTATCACTGCATTCATATAAATAATTATAGAATACGTACAGTAGTATGCAAACTTTTGAACACCCCCAGTCAACCAGGGTCTGAATTGAACACACTAAATTGCCCGTGTGTGTGTGTGTGTGTGTTTGTGTATGTGTGGATGTATATGTCTGTGTGACTGCCTTGCGATGGACTGGCAACCTGTTCAGGTTGTATCCTGCCTTCTGCCCAGTGACCACTGGGATAGGCTCCAGCTCCCTATTGCAATGTTTGTGTAATTGGAGAAAATGGAGATACAAGGAGAGAACAACAGTGTATATAATGCATATGAAACATTTTTACAACATATAAGTACATACAAATATAATATATTTGAATTACATATGGGATATATTATTAATACATATATGTACTTACATAGTTTATACTTAATACATATGGAACATATGCATGTAGGTGCTTATACAGTGTATATGTAATATGGGACATACATATGACCTCACATCTTAACATTCTCTGTATATGTTTGTGAACTGTAGGTGCTGTCCCTGCCCCATCGCAGGCTAGTGTGTTATTGCCGTCTGTTTGAAGTACCAGATCCCAACAAGCTGCAGAAACTCGGCTTGCATCAGCGGGAGATCTTCCTATTTAATGACCTCTTGGTGGTGAGAACCGCTCTGTAAACCCTTCACAACAACACACACAACAACCCTTCATCTGAAGAACACTCTGCAAAGAAAAGAACGAACTGAATTGAATTGATTGATTCATATGAATGTGTATATAATTTCTACATGAGAAAATTATATCACATCAATGGAATTTTGTCTTTCAATTTACTTATGTTTAACAATGATTGTTGATTGACTGATTATAATATATTTTATTCATATGGAAAGTATGTACACACTTGAATGAAGTACACTCAGTGTGTCATTTTTTCCAGTGTAAACAAGACCCCAGGCGGACTATAGATAGACTACAGTTGCACTGGAATGCTGCAGAGCTTTGGCAAGGTCCACTCAGCTCACTCTTTTCTGGTCTTATTTGGATTTGTAGGTAACTAAAATCTTCCAGAAGAAGAAAAACTCAGTGACGTACAGCTTCAGGCAGTCCTTCTCCCTGTACGGAATGCAAGTGCTGCTGTTTGAGAACCAATGTGAGTAACATTAGCCTTTATGGTGGAGAAGAATTTGTTTAAATCTTTAAATGCAAAGCATTACAACTTAGTTGTGTGCACATATGCGACATAATATAAGCCAATGTAATGGTAGCATAACCTGCGTTTCCTTCTTTCTCACTTTCCTTCTTGTTGGCAAGCTTTGTTGGATCATTTTTATATTTTTTATAAAGGTTATCTTACATGCATGGCAATAATAACAACAACACCGACCTCAACAGTGGCAGCAATGAAATAAATGCGTAGTAACGGGAACACTTTTTGTCTGGTAATTTTGAGATGGTTCCAAACATTTTGCCAGATATAAGAGCAACCACTGTGATGGCCTGGTAATCTAGTAAGAAAGAATGGAATCAGGAATGACACACATACTTTACTATTTGAAGCCGCTTAGCTTAGCCTAGCCTGATTTATTCTTTTCTGAGACAGTTTGAAATGACACGTTTCACCTGATGTACGGACCTGAAGCTGTTTTGTTTGATGTCTGAAAGCTGATGCTGCAGTCTGAGGATGTCCTAATATGTACACTGTAACATAGAGGCAGCCCTGATGTCTGCCTCTCCCGTACCCTCCCCATTCAACCAGCTCAGCTCAACAGCCATGTTTCTAGAACAATCACATCTATGTTAGACACAATAAATGTGGTATTAGTGCAGGATATCACATATGTAGGTGTGTTCACATGTGGGAATATTAGTTTTCCAGTTATATCTTTGCATGAAACTTATCGATAAATGAATAGCAGCTTTTTTAAACAGATGGTAAATGAGTTTTTACCATCACTGGGGGCTGTTACTGCAAAGGCATAGTCAGTTTTTTCTTTTAAGTAACCAATGTGTCCTTTTCCTTTTAGATTACCCAAATGGAATACGGCTCACCTCGGCCATTCCAGGCGCTGATGTAAAGGTCCTCATTAGCTTCAACGCCCCAAACCCTCAGGACCGCAAGAAGTTCACCGATGACTTGCGGGAGTCCATCGCTGAGGTCCAGGAAATGGAAAAGTACCGGATAGAGTGTAGGCATCCATAAACGCTCCTATACTCACAAACACAAACACTAGTCATGTAAACTCGCCAAATAAAAGGTCATACTTGGACCATATTAATTTGCAGATGAGTACACACTGAAAAAATGGTGGCATTGAATTAAACACCATTGGATATCAATACAATCATTCTCAAAAGTAAGTAAACTAAAAGATGAGATTATGTTGATGTGATATATTCTATTCTTATACAAATGTATGTGTTTGAATCAAGTGAATTTAATGCTTCGCTTTTTTTCAGTGCATTTTAAAACAGCTATCAGCAATAACTCTGAACACGGCCACAGTAATACAGCAATGCAGTTTTATAATGGAGTTTTATGTCTGTCAGGAGGAGACAGCAGACTTTACTGTGGTCACATAAACTATATAAAAAATCAATGCCGTTTAAAAGGAAGTAGTTGGGCTGCAGTGGAATCAGAGCAGCAGTGTGGTGAATGCCTTTGATATGAGCAGAATAAGTGGCGTCAACATCAAAACTAGAGGGAACGGAAGAAGAGGCATAAGAACTTTTTCATTTGCCATTTATACACAGCACCAACATGACCAAGGCTGTGTTAGTACTGTCTACAGACAGCCTCCACAGGCTCCTTAAATTGCTTTTCAGTTTTGTGTATCCCTACCACTATTTTCAAGGGGAATTCCACCAATTTCTCAAAATTTCTGAAGAATTAAATAGTTAAGATGTCAATTCAGAGTGGTTTGATGTGAAAGGTCCCACGCTAGAGAAACGTCCTGAGTCAGAATTGTTCACAGCGGTGGTGATAGGAACAGATATCTTAAGAGTTTAATGCATCTAAAAGCCCCCTTACAGAAAGTTATTATCTAAAATGGTTAGAAATATGTTACCTGATGTTTGAGACATTGTTTTATGATAGTTTTGTCATTAGGTTTTAGTCTTAAAGTCATTTTTAATACCTGTTCATGGCAGAGAGATACATGCAGGGAGGTGTTGTAAGGCAACATAGTCACAAAAGAAAACTTTTTGCATCTACTATTTTACTATTATCAACATTACACAGACTTGTAGGGTCACTTGTCCATTTGGATTTATATTTGCATTGACCCCTGGTTCCTATCACCACTACTGTAAAGAATCTGAGTCAGTACGTTTCTCTACAATGAACCATTCCATCAAACCATTCCTAAAGACTTAGTTTACATCTCAACAAATTAATTATTGATTTTGAAAAACTGGTGGAATTCTCCTTTAACACGATCAGATAGAAGGAGGGGACAAAGTTCAGGTTCAGAATTATTACAGCACCACCTTAACCCCTTACATTCCCAGGCTTATAACATCCTAAGGCTTATTATGTTGTTACTACAATGCAAATTAGCTGAGTTATCCCTAAGAATATCCCCAATACCCGCCCCCAAAGTCCCTCAAACTCTATTTTGTGCTCTTTTCACGTCCAGAGCTAACAAGTGGCTTGTTATCCATCACTGTAGATGAGCATACAATGGCCCCTTACTTACTCATCTCCACCGTAGTGACACGTTGGATTGGTTAAGACATTTCACACACACTTTGTTCTCACTCTAATAGGTCTCCACACCCACATTCAGCCCATAATTTCTCTTGGTTCTCCCTAAAAATTCTTGTTAGGAGCTCACGTCTGGCCCTGTGAGACTACACCTGTCTACTACACTCTACGAAATATTACACTAAATGTTCAGTGAAGGTTACTTTGCTGTGTTGGTGTGGTATATGTGTTTACATGCTTTCATGTGGAAGCAGGTTTATCTAACCCTGTGCACATTTTCATGTCTGTAGCTGAGCTGGAGAAGCAGAAAGGCATAGTAAGACCCAGCATGTCCCAGAGCATGTCAGGCCTAAAGAAAGAGGCAGGCAACGGAACCATGAGCCGCGCCAGCCTGGATGACACGTATGCCATGGGGGAGGGGCTAAAGAGGAGCGCGCTCAGCAGCTCCCTGCGTGACCTGTCTGAAGCAGGTGAGTTTCGGTGTGGTGCTACAGATCTAGATGTGTTCAGGTGTGTTAAAGCTAAATTTGGTACTCAAAAAGACTTTTTGATCAAAAGTGCAATATGATTATCAGCTTTGATTAAAGGTGTTTGAAGTCATAGTTTGGTGAAAACTTAAATTTATATAATTCCTGCTCTTACTCCAAATGTTAGCCAAGGCTAATGCAGTTAACAAGTAATGAAGTCTAATCTTACAGACTTATCAATTCAATTAACAGTGTAAAAACTGAATGCATGAATCATTACATACTTGCTTTAGAGGGCAAATTCAATTTTTCAAAACTTCTACACAGTTAAAGGATTCAAATGTAAAGAAAATCGCTCAGAGTGGTTTGGTGTGAAATGCTCCATTCTAGTGAAACTTACAGAGTCAGAATTATTCATAGTGTTGGTGATAGGAACCAGTCGTCTGAAGAGTTTAATGCCTCTATAAAAGTTATCACATGAAATGGTTACAAATACAGTAGCTGATACCTGAAACATTGTTTTTAGATACTTGACAGAAAGTTTTGGCTTCAGAAGTATTTTTAACAGCCATTTATGGCAGTGCAGTACATGCAGGCAAAACAGTCCCCAAAGAAAACTTTTTTTTCAGATTTACCACTATTTTACCATCATCTAACTCAGAAGACACATGTAGGTTCACTGGTGGCTTTGTATAGTAAATAAAATGACCATATTTCTGTTATAAACATCATGACGTCTGGTTCCTATTCCCACCACTGTAAAGAAATCTGTTAGTAAGCTTCTCTACAAGTTTTTCTTTCACATCAAACCACTCTGAATGAGTTTGTTTACATCTAAGTAATTGAATTATGCAGAAATATGCCTTTAAACAATGTTGAATTATTAAGTAATAATAAATAGGCTTGCTTCTACGACACTATAGGACATACTGTTGTCTAAAAAAATGACCAAAAATTTTAAATTTTTAATTTTTGGCATGTAAGCTTCAATCTCTTGTTAGCTGCTTTAGCGTAGTAGCAAACTTCAGCCACCAAGTAAGCTGATTAACTGCATTTGGGGTAAGAGGGAAAACTGTGTAAATAGTTTTTTTTGTCTTTCCTATTGCCAAATAGCTTAGAGGTTTAGTCCACGCTGTTAGAAATAAAGGTACTTCATCAAGGTATAAACAATGTAAATGTTCCCTCAAAGGTACAACAGTGGTTTTAAGGTCCAATTGTGAACCTTAAATAGGTTTTTCCAGGTGAAAAGTATGTATTTGTACCTTTTCATAACGTAATGTTTTAAAACAAAACGATAAAATAAAAAGTCTGGAGACGAGACAGGGGTGTGTGGAGTCAATACAACTTAGAAAATATAATTTCAGTGGATTATGGTACAATTATGTTCCCTTACTAAAGGTACTGAGATGTACCCTTGAGGGTCCCACCCCAGTGACGAGAAGGGTACTGCCCCAGTGACAGTTTGTACCTTTATTTCTGAGAGTGCAAGGCATGAGAAAGCTGTATCTGACCTTTATACTTTTAGACACATTCATCTGTTAGACACAGAAACTTTAGATTTATGTGAGTAATGGATGAGTCAACAAAACCAAATGTCATGTTTACCGACTTTAACTGTTGTTTACTGATGTGTACCAGCTGTGGCCTATGCCAGATCCAATTGAAATGTAACTTTTATGTCCTGTACACGTCTAAATTGTTAAATCTTTCATTTTGATTCTCCTGTTGTCCCCATAACATCCCATATTTATTTGTATAACTTATTTTAATATGGTGTTTCATAGTTAAGAATTTAACTGGTGAATCATCAGTCTCATGCATCAATGACACAAGTTACCCAACTGACCATAACGTTGATCTGATCAAAGGCACTTGAGGTGATTCGGTGCTTGGCTGTATAAAGACGTGTTACATTAAACTGATATATTTGAGTTTCTTCATTTATAAAAAGTTTAGTGTTATAACTAGCCCAATTCTGTTCTGCATTTCAGCATAAAGCCAAGATAAAGGTTTCTCCAAGTGCCATACCCTTTTGATCTTGGTTCAATTTTTGCCGTCAGTTGGCCATCAGCAATGATGGAATGAAATCCATAATTGGAGTCTGATTCATAACGGAACAGAAAGCCCATCTGTGCGCTTATCTCCCATCAATTTACCCTCGAAAGAAATACTAACATTTGAGTTTGACGAAGTGTCGTGTCATGAAAGTGTCCCTTCTCCACCTTTGCTTGGTCCCAGTTGTTCGAGGGCCTCCATTTGAAGCTTTTATTCGCAGAGTGTGGCATGAGTTGTAATCAGTCGTGTATATGAAGCATTGTTTCATTCACCCCCCCCTCGTACCACTGGATCTATCGATACTTACCTGCTGCTTATGACGTTTACCTTCAGGCCAGTGTGTGTGCCGGAGTGCTTTTGGCTACCAGTCATCTGTCCATCAGCTGCCATGTTTTGAGTGTGTGCCATGTCTTGTATTGGCTTATGTGGCTCATTGAAAGGCAGCAGTAGAATGGCTTTGGATGTTTTTGCACAGGACGACCACACACAACAGCCTATAGTACACGGCTGTCAGCCGCCATTTACTGTTTAAGATTTACTATCCATTTGATCCAGTTTAGTTCATTTATGTTTCATGCGAAATATCATTAAACACAAAGAAATTTCTCTTTAAAGTCCCAGGGAACCTAAAGCCATGTTTTCTTTCTAAGTAGACTAATCTTGCTCTTGAGGGCGCAAAATATACACGTACAAAGTATGTTATGTGGATAACTCTCCAATGTCCACTAAACGGTGATGCATTGTTCCAAAATTTTTAATCTTGGGTTACATATGCAGTGTCCTTAGCAATCACAATGCAGTTTCAGCAAAACTGTGTTAAAAAGGTATCAAACCTGTAATGGAGGATTTCTTGATAATTGGAATGAACAGAGATTATAAATCCCTAGAAACCATGAAACAGTTGCACATGGCTGACATTTTCGCTGTTAGTCTGCGGTTTGAACTGGATAACAATGGAAAAAACAACATTTAAGTCACTATTTCTCATTTTCATTACCATTCAAATTATTTGTCACTTATAACTGCCATTTATAACTCTTTTCGAGCTTGTATTGGCACAAGTGGATGTAGATCTTTTTGACGTGAGCACAGTTTTAGCTGTTAACTATGATCCCCTATGGTCTCTCTGTGTTTGAGGAAGAGAAACTTAGAGAGCAAAAGCTAACAACCAAGTAAAAGGTAACCTAGAAAGCATAATTGAGCTATCAAGCTAACGTTTGCTCATCTGTCTGCCTGTCACCATTCAAATATTCATTCGTTCAACCGACCACGCCAGCACTCCGTGGATGCACGTCCAGCAGTAAAGAGAATAAGACTTTACCTGTAGACAACAGCCCTACAGAAGCTGGACAATGTTTTATTGAGCTGCTGTCTCGGCTGGAATAGTCAACAACACGGCCTGCATATGTAGAACCTGTTTCACTCCCTTCTCCACAGTTGCGGTAATCTGTTTAGTTCTGTTTCACTGGCGTAACATGCTAGGAGCTGTGGACTGACGGATGTCAATCACGTGTGCTCATTAGAATATTAAGCCATGCCTAGACAGTTTTCAGATAGATTTGACAAACATTTTTGAAGATGTTTTATTACATTTCTACCTTCTCAAATTTGCTGGATGTTTAATATAACTCAATTTTAGTATCATACAGACATTTTTAACATTTCACACTGAGTTCCCTCAGACTTTAAGAGTTTTTAGAGTAAAACAAGAGTCCAACAGTAAAAAAACAAGAAAAAGGAAAGTGCAAACCATTCCATCCAGACACGACCCTAATTAGAGACAATTTATTTCAAAGCTGTGACCACAACTGGCCTACCCATACTCTGTCCACAGATATGTTCTTTTGTTGCAACTGTTGGGAGGTTGGATAAGCTTTACAGAATGTTGGCAAAAATCATATTCAACTTAAAGAGGAATTGTAGCATGAAGTTCAGTTTTTCATCAGAATACTAGCAAGGCACTGGAATTAAAATTCCTGACCAAAACCGAAATCAAACTTCTGGACATACTTGGCTAAAAATTGTGTGGGTTTTTTTTGTTTTGTTTTTATTGCTTTTGAGTAAAAATAGCATAACTACACTTTTACTATTAAAATTAGTCCTTTAAATAGGACAAAACTCAGCTAACAATAATTTAAAAAGCCAAAAATCTATGTCTAAATTATTTTTATTGTGTTCTAAAAACCACAGATGGCATTTTTGTTTTCCGTTTCTGTTGTTTTAGCTGTGTTCTGCATAACAAGTGGGATTTTTTCAAATGGTATCAAACCTGTAATGGAGAATTTCTTAATACTTTGACTGAACAGAGATTAGAAATCATTTATAGAAACCATGAAACAGTTGCACATGGCTGACATTTTCACTGTTAGTCTGCTGCTGCTCAAACCATTTGAACTGGATAGCAAAGAAAAAAACTGCATAGTCCCTATGTAGTCACTATTTCTCATTTTCTTTACCATTAAAATTATTTGTCACTTATAACTGCCATTTTAACTATTTTCGGCCTTGTGTTGGCACACGTGGATGTCGATCTTTTTGACATGAGCTTACATTAGTCTGGTGGCAAGTTCATTGTTTTCATTCCAAACCTGCCTAGTTACGATTAACTTAATCCAGCTCAGCTAGTGGACACTCAAAGTTATATAGCAACTTTAAACAAGGTGCGCTACAGTTTCTCCTGAGGCGGAATAGTATTTGCCAACATTCTTAAAGCTTGTCCAACCTCACAACAAGTGCTCCAAGAGAACTTGCAAGTGGCCAGAGCATGGACAGGTCAATAAAAAACAAGCACTAGAATATTATCACTCCATAGTTCTGCCTGCTAGACCACCACTACCCCCCAACCCCCACTTTCCCAGTCACCACCCCCTCTCACCTAAGCCCCTGACCACCCTCCTTAATGAGACTGGACTAGGCTTGCTGTGTGCTCACATGTCCCTTTGGCGCCCCCTAGAATCAAAAAAAGATGTGTACACCACTAGCTCCCCTTAAGGTGTGATGCCCATCTCTAATCTGTGGTATTGCATGTCTCGGGCAGGCAAGCGTGGGCGCCGCAGCAGTGCAGGATCACTAGACAGCAATATGGAAGTAAGTAGGAAGCAGTGGATGTCTAGTTTACTTCCTCTATGTTGATTGATGTGCACTGTAAACAAAAAAAAAAATTGAAAACCAAACCAAAAACAACCCAAACATTTACTGTTTATGTTCCTTGCACCCTCTCTTTACGCTTCATAGTTTCTCCGACAAGCTCATTCTTTACATTTTCAGTTTTTGGTTTCCTTGTTAAACTTGATTATTGATGCCTAACCCGCCTGCCTGCTCACATGCATGCATGAGCTGCTTGCCTTGTTTTCCGGAAGTCGGGTTTTGTCTGCGAGCGAGTGGCCTCAAGGGCTGTCCAGCAGGCCACTGGCCACATTTTCTCCAACACCAAGCATGTTCTGTACTAACCCTTGCTGGTTTGTCATTGCTCAACCATCGGTCTCCTGTTTGCTCATTTAACCATTTGTTGCAACCCGTGTTTATTTAGCTAAGGCTCTTCATTGTGTAACAGCAGGGGTAGCTATGACTACAGCAGTGGTTTCGAGTTCCGATCCTGTATTACACCTGTCATGCATATTTTAATGCTCTAACAGACTCACTTTACCTCAAGAAGGGTTTTACTGAATTGATGAGCTTGATATAGGGGCATTACACAAAGCAGGATATCTCAGTTTAGCCAGATAACTTAAACTCAAAGTCAAGCTTATCCAATAGAAAAGAGCTGAGGGATATTCCTATTCATCAACTTTAGGATTAAGTTCTCTGGCTAAATGAGAAACCTTGATTTGTGAAACACCCCCCTGATCAAATTCATCAGCTAAATTACAAACTCTTCCTTAAGTAAAGTGAGTCTGTTAGAGCTGAAAATGAACAAAATGTGCAGGACAGGGAAATTTCAGGACCATAGAGGCACAAAGTGAAGCTGCTTTACACTCTTAAAAATAAAGTTGCCAAAAAAGGTTCTTTGAAACGATGCAGTTGAACAGATGAAAGGTCCTTCAAAGCAGAAGTTCTCAAATTACTTCTCAGGGCTCCAAAAGTGGTTCCACCAAAAGTGGTTCTTCTATGGCAGAAGTATACTGCTAGATTTTGTGATCGCTGGTCAATATTCAGGGTCAAACAAGTTTCTCAGCTGTAGCCCTGGAGACCCACTGTTCTCCACAGCCTTTTGTTTTCCATGCTCCAATACATCAAACCAGCTCCTGAAGCAGTCATGATGCAAGCTTTTGCATAAACAGTCCAACCAGTCATTATGAAATCCAGGACCTAAAACTGGAACAAAGATTTGAATATGTTTGCCATAGAAGAACCACTCTTGGTTCCCTAAAGCAGTGGTGGTTTAAAATTGGTCCTCGGACGGTCCATATTTTTGTTTTAACTCTGCGTGCTGAGAGTTGAGATCGAGCTAAAATGTAGACCGTCTGGGGACCGTCTCTCCCAAATGGTCCAGATTTTTGTTCTGTCCCTATGTTTTGGGAGTTGGGATCAAGCAAAAGTGTGGACCTTGGACAAAACAGAACAGAAGTCCTCGTAATGTAAAGGTTCTACACCAGGCCAAGAACCTTTTAGAAAACTTTATTTCTAAGAGTGTAATTGTAATTTGTCCTTTGTGCTACAACCCTGGTTTGTCCCCCCAGGAGAAGCTGAGGGATAATCTCCTTAGTGAAACCATTCCCATGGCGTTTGATTGGACTGACATGACTCAAATCAGAAAGGATGTGGATTTCATTAGCACACACATGTTCATTATTCATACATCATCTGTCATGACCTTCTATTAGGTGGGACATTTAGGATCAGAGAGCTGTTTTGTCCTCGTCTCTAGACAAATCACCCTCTCAGAACTGCTTAACGACGAGATTCATTTGTTAGACATGTTTGAGAAGAACAACAGCATAACAGGTTCAATCATGTGATAAAAGAGCACTGTGTGCCAATCCTATAGTTGAACAGATGTTAAATGCTTGTAATACTCTAAGCTATTGGTCAGCTGAATGCGGAAATGTGAGTTTTTTGCCGTTAATGCCTCTGCATGTGAAGGATCTGCTCTCATCATCCTAACGAGATGCATGTGAGATTTCTCCCCAGGCTTGTTCTATAATGTGTTTTATTATTGTTTTATACCTTTCAGCGCTTAAATGAGCATTCTGCCCTGATTTCCATCATTTAATGTCTCACCATATGACAATTTGCAGGAATTTGGCCAGGATTCTCCAGGTACTCTAGATAGCCTTCAAGAAACAAAGTAACAATGTATTACGGGTAGGAAAGTGAACATGACCAGAATGTCTGTGATGGTATTGGTTGCAAATCATTGCTGTTGTAAAAAAGCCTTGTATCTCTGAAATGGTATAGGAGGAAGAAAAAACTTTTAACATGAAAATTAGAAACAGAAAGGTTTGCTTTTCAGAACATTTGCTTCTCCATTTATCAGGAAATGTTCACAATGTAGAGTACTGGACTACCTGTCATTTATCTAAATTCTGGTCAAAATCAGCATCAAGTACAAATGATTAGGAGTTTCCAAGACATTACTAAAAATTACTAAAAGCTACAGAGAAAATGGGCCTCCTAAAACCAGTGCAAGACCTGCTAGACCTCTAAAACTGTCCCCATCAGATAAACAGCACTTAAAGCTGACATCTTTGAGAGAGAGGAGAAAATCAAGCTGCTTCAGATCTGAAAACATCCACAGGTGTTTCTTTCCATCCTTCCACTGTGAGAAGACAACTCAGTGCTCACTGAGACAAGGAGATGGTCGGTGACGTTCTGAGGACAATAGACTGTCCACCCCAGTCCAAACCTCAACATCATTTAATATGTTTGGGATTACTTGGATTGCTAGAACCGGAAGATGCAACCAACTTCTAAGACTGAACTTTGAAAGGTTCTTTGAAAAACTGAAAGCAAGACTACTGAAAAGAATGAAAGCTATAATAAAGGTAAAGAGTGGACACACTAAATACTGAAAAGATGAAATTATATTTAGCTGTTGTTAATTTTCTGTTTTGAAATAGTGCAAAAACTAAAAAGGTTTCAGAAACGTTTTCTTACAACAGTGCAAGAAATGCATCTGGCGCCACAATATGGTAGCCACTTGGGATTTAGTTAAAGTGACATTTGTTGTGTGATACTGAATGATGGCTCTAGTAGTCCAAACTCCTGGTGAGGAATCATGTATTAAATGATGGATTTTGGGTGGAATGCTCTTTTAAATGCTCTTCTACATGTCACCTTGTCACATCCTGCCAGCATCCTCCAGCTGGGTCAGTTTCAGTCATCTGTGTCCTGTTGTTTTACATGGTCAACTCAAAATGCAAAATCTATTTTTATTAAAAAATGTATATGAATATACAGTATATAGCAGATGTAGATTGTAATGTGAATATAGTTGTATTAAGATAAGTGTAAATATTTATCTGTTGTTGAATGTTGTCTTTTTTTATCTGTTTACAGTTGTAATTGACAGTTTTTCATGTTTCATGTGTCTATTACTGTCTCTATTTTAAATTTCCGTGGGAATGTCCTAATCTGAAACAGATAGCGTCAATACACTACAGCCCAAAAAGTGTGGAAGCAAGCAGTGATTTTGTAAACTATTTTATACTGAAGTTGATTTGCCTACAACCAACACAACACATTTACTTTGAGTTTAACCAAAAAGTTTGTTTCTGAATATTCACTTGCATAGTCTTTGGGAAAAGCCTTCTTTGTTAATAACAGTGTTTTGACACTGAGCAGTTTTTAATTCTTTCCACACTCTGAGTGTGTTGATGATCCTTGCATCTAAATGGGAGAATCAGCTGGATCTGATTAGAGCTGCAATGAAACTCTGCAGGAGAATCAGCAGGAGCTAAACTAACAACAATCAGTTAGTACAGACACTAAACGCTGCTGGCATTTAGCCTTTTGCTCTGTATTAATAAACTCATTAATTCTCACATTATCTCTAGACATTTTATGTTTGTTTTTACAAAATCAGTGTTGCTTCCAACCTTATGGCCAGTAGGCCATCACTGTTTCCTCTAAGAACTTGGCTTAAGAGAAAGCACTGAAGAGGATGCTGTTAATTTTGTTGCATTGAGATCTAATGCTGCATTTACATTTTTCATCCCAAAAATGTTTTGTATGCAAGCTAATGTTTCTGATAGTGTGTGTGTTATTGAAATTTAAGATGTGATGTACATGAACGGGTTATACCTGGACAACTACGAGCATACAGCACCTGTGTTTTACAAAAAAATCAACATCCGGTTTATTCCACTGCTGCGATCAGCTGCAAAAGTTGGGAAAACTGAACTTTTTCCGTCACTGTTCTGTTAAAAACAGTGGAATATCTGGTTTGCAGTCATCCATCCACCATTATCATGTACACACAGTATTAGAGGAAACAGTGTTGGCAATACAGTTAAAAAAAAGGTGGAAAAAGAGTTCCTTGGACCACTTTTGGTTAAAACTCTCAATTGAAAGGTTCTTTAGTGGTTCTTCTATGGCATATGGCATCTTTTTGCCACCACTATCTTTAAATAGATACATGCGTGAGTATATATCAGTGCTAAATGTTGTGTTTATTCTGATGACGTTCTCCTCGGCCTGTCTCTGCCCACAGGGCTCCATCATTAGCAGTCCTCACCTGCGCCGGAGAGCGCCCTCCTCAGCCCGGGAGTGCCCTTCCCACCCCGGCCCGAACCCCCCATCCTCCTCCTCCTCCCTGCTGGGATCGCTCTTTGGCAGCAAGCGGGGAAAGCCTTCAGCGCAAGGCTACCCTCCTCATCCTCATCCTCATCCTCTGCCTCCGCACCACACGGGGCAACCCACTCTCATTTCCCACAAGCCCCACCCCACCAACCTGCACCACACAGCTCAGGCCCAGATGGCGGTTGCCCACACTTACCACGGACAGCGCTGTCCACTTCCGCAAAACCCTCCACCGTATCACCACCATCACCACTACCACCCGCCCCAGCCTGGGCCTGGGCCCCGCCTCTACCGACAGCACTCAGGCCATGCCCCCATCCCGCACACCCACACACACCATCCTCAGTTCGCTCACCACCACCACCATCACCGGCACCACAGAGAGCAGCAGCAGCCGGCCAGCTCCAAACCCAAGCACTGTGGCATCAGCACTGTGGTGTGACCCCGGCTACACTCTGAGCCATAGAACTTCACAAACACACAGCAGACTTACGGTCACTGTGGGCTGCCGGGGAGCGCCAGGCTCGGTTGGCTTGAAAAGCAGGTTGGACTCAAACTGTGGAGAGGCTTTCTGCTCCGAAAATGCAGGTTGAACTCTAGCCCCGGAGAGGCTTTTCTGGAGCTTTTCTGAGGTTTAACGTAGCCACGGTCAGGTTTCGGTAGGGGTGAAAAGGTTTAAGGATTGTGAACCAAACTATATGTCCAAAACTATCCAGACATCCCTTCTACTTAGTAGATATTCAGCGGCTTTAAGATACATCCATTGCTGATACAGGTGAAATGCAAACAACCATAACACCTCTGCAGATTAGCATTACCAGGATGTCTCTGTAGCTCTCTGGAGGCCCTGCATTGGACTGTGGAGCAGTGGAATTGTGTTTCTTGGGGTTATAAAGCTCTATTGAACATCTTTAAGATGCATTAGAGTGATGAAACTCCATTGAACACCTTTAGGAAGAGTTGGAGTGATGAAGCTCCATTGAACACCTTTGAGACAAGTTAAGACTGATGAAGCTCCGTTGAATATGTTTGAGATAAGCTGGCATCATGGAGCTCCATTAAACACCTTTGAGATGAGTTGGAGTGAAGAAGCTCCATTAAAAATCTCAGTTTGTGATCCAGATCTAATCCGTCAGCATAACATCAAAATACAACTCACTGATGCTCTTGTAGCTGAATGCAATCAAATTCCAGCAGCAATAGCTCCAACATCTATTGGAAAACCTTCTCAGAAGAGCAGAGGCTGGTGTTTAAGGACAAACCTTGTGCTAATGTCCTTCATTTTCAGAAAAAAAAAATGCTGGACAAGCAGGTGTCTAGATACTTTTGGACATATAGAGTATGAGCAGTGGTTCTCCTCCACATTCCCCTACCCAGAGGGTCAAAGGCGATGAGAGACGGGCTTGTTCAGACAAGGCTCCGTGTTTTCCTCACAATAGCTCATTGTAAACAGTCTCTAAAGACTTTGTTGTTGTTGTTGTCGTCATTTCAACACTCTGCCTACATGTATCTCCAAGATGCTATTTTTATTTCGAAAGAAGTGTGCGTGTTGCTCATTGTAGGACGCTTCATATTTTTTATGAGCCTGAACATGCTCTCCTCCTCCTGGATGGCTAGCAGGCCCAGCTGAACGACCGAGCTGCCAGTCACGAGAGCATAGTCATCCTAATACTGTATTTATTGTGGATAACAGCTTTATTTGTTGTCCTAGCAATCATATATAAATGTGCCAATAACCATTGCATATCTACTCAGTCAAATGCTCTGCTCTGTGTATACTGTATTGTGTGTAATAGTATTTAGTAGTGTAATTGCATCCATTGTAAGATGTTCTATAATACTGTAAAAAATAGACATATTCAGAATTTTTTTTTTTTTAAATATTATGGTCAAATATAAGTCAAACGAAATGGTCACAGGTGCAGTCAATGTCAGTTGTACCATATATGGTACTGTGCAAAAGTCAGAGACCACCATTCCTTTATTTGATTATAATTTTGCCTTTATTACAGCTTCCATGCTTTCACTTTTTAAAAAAGTATATTTTTTCACAGCTCCAAAGTTCAGTCTTAGAAGTTGGTTGCATTTTCCGCTTCTCGCAAACCAAGATATTCCCAAACATATTCAACGATGGAAGCTTTAAGTGCTGTTTATCTGATGGGAATAGTTTTGGTGGTCTAGCAGATCTTGCAGGTGGTTGTTAGGAATCACATTTTTTCTTTAGATTTTAATCATTGTATGAACTTTTGGAAGCTCCTGTTTTTTTCACTTACTTTTCCTCTGACTTTCTCCTTCCTTGAACAAGGGGATTATCTTCCATCCAGTCTCCTCAGAAATATCTTCTGAAACATGAATAACTTGTCCTTAGTAGCTGTTTTGACTAGAAATTAAATAAATAAAGGGTGGTCTCTGACTTTAGCACAGTACTATTTTGGAACTTTTGATGCCTTTGCAATATTCTCTGAAGCAATTTTGGAAAACAGAAAGCACGCCCTAAGCAGCCTAGCACAGATTGTCTAAGCTGGACTGTACAGTTGTTAAGGCTGCTGAAACTAAGCAGTGTGGTGTAGATAAGGAGTTACTGACCCTCATGTTTACAAATGTAAATGGCTCAGTAATTGAAAGTAATTGAAATTGAAAGCTAACAGACTATGAACGGTGTAAAGTACAGCAAACCATGAGCAAAAGGGGCAAACACAGCACTTTTTATAGAGCTCAATGTGTGGTAACAATTCACTGAGCACTTGGACGATCCTTTTACATTACACCTTATACAAATATACGAATTGTTTTCCGAGAACGGGGAAACTGCTAGTGTTTTACTAAAAAGAAGTAAGCTTTCTTTTACATTTTTCAAAGAAAGTGATGAAATCTAATTTCGTTTTGTTTTTTTGTTTTTGTTTTTTGTTGTTGTTTTTTAGGATAAGGTTAAGTAAAAGTAGGATAGATAGTCAATGTTTGTCCTGCACATATCCTACAGAGTTATGCACAAACCATATGAGGGCCAGTGACTGAAGTATTTTTCTTTTCTTTGTATGTGCAATATATTTGTAATGATTTTGTGAAGAATCCCTTCCTGTTATGCTGAGTGATGGCATTTTTTTCCATAATTACAAACACATTACATTATTGTAGTGGCTCTCATAATTGACCATTTGCAAAAGTCCCTCGTCCTTTAGTTAATGTTGCTATGTCCGTCGAACTTTCAGCTCAGGCCACCTGGTAGCAACCTTAGCACTTGTGCTAACAGGCTAAAAACTTTTGCAGCACAAAGGAAAATGTAGAAGCACATAGAGGAGTACATATAAAGATGAATCATTATTCAAAAATAAACTTGCTTTACAAGATGTTCAGTGCAGACATACATATTTGAGCAGTTAAAGTGGTAGGTTTTATGTCTGACGAGGAGATTTGGGCCATGGAAGTTGTTCCTTCAGATGAGCTAATGCTGAAGCTAATGCTGGAGCTAGTCGGTGCTGAGAACACCTTTTAGCAAAATTTAATGAAACAATAAAAATGATTGTTTGCATACATGTGCATTAATATTACAAAGATAGCTTCAATCACAAATGTGAGTGCAATACATTATGGTTGTGTTTATTCTATCAAGATAACTGCCAACAGCTAAGATATGAAATGCTAACATTTAGCTAGATCAGTGGTTCTCAGATTGGTTCACAATTTTGTTCAAACTCAACTTGAAATGCAGAGACAAAAATGTGTACGTTCTGAGGCCGGTTTGAGAACCACTGCACTAGATAAGTGATCTTAACATTGTTCTGTAACGTTAGAAATCACATTGAAGTCAGTGTTAGCAGGTACAGTAGCCCAGGTAAAGTTTAGCTAACCTTAGAGCTAGTCTAAGTCATAAGTCTGCCTTGTTACTAGTTCTGACATTGAGCTATGAGTTTGGTCTTCCACATACAGTCATAAAAGTTTGAACACCACTGATTAAATGACATAATTTGTTGATTAAAATAAGATCCTCTACAGAGATCAACTTTAGTGCAGAATTTCTATTTATTTGCTAATAAAATGGAATATAAAATGTGCCATAAATTTTGCACAGGACATATTTTATGTTTTTTTTTTTTTCCAAATATGTTAACCCCTTAAAATCCCAAGCTTATGATATACTAAGGCTTATTATGCAGTAACTACGTGGGCTACAGTGCTAACTAGCTGAGTTATTCTTAGGTTATAGAAGTATGTAGTAAAACGTTGGGCCTGCTGGTGGGTCCTGGCCATTTAAGGGGTAAAATTCAGCAAATAAACAGTAATTGTATATTAAAATGTGCAGAAGGATGTTCACTACAGAGGATGTGTTTAACTTGTTTTCACTTAGAAAGCCAAGAAAATATGTATTTTGACCAGGGGTGACCAGAATTTTCCAGCTTCAGTCTGCATCTGAATCTCAAGCTCCCTAAATAACATTTTTGCACTCTTTTGCATCTCTTATTCTGATAATTCTGAGTAATTTACTACCACCGACGTTCTTACTGTAGCTTTGTTAGAGTAGAGTTTTTACTTCACGTGATGGAGGAAGTACCACTTCGTAGAGACGGCTGCGATTGGCTTAATTCATTATTTTGCAAACGGTCAATGCAGGTGGCACCACAATACAGTGAACCACTCGCTTGGGATTTAGTGGAAATAGGCTGTTGTGTCCTCTTGTGTATGATATGATACCATTTGGCCAAAATAAATCAGTGTTACTTTGGCGATGAAGTGCAATCGTTTAGAGTGCATTCACACATTCTAGATAATAGCAGCATCTGTTATTCCTTCAAGAGATTCAGGTGAATGTTCAGACAAATTATGCAAATATCTTTCCTTCCAGAATGATGAAATGCGATGGCGAATGTATTTAGGAAGATAAAATGTATGTTTAGTGTTATTTGTTTTTCTTTTTTTATTTTTGCTTTATTGCACCATAAGGATGCTTTGCAGAGTTGGCTCTTTGCTGATTGGTCACTATATCTGAATGGCAATTTAACATTGTTCTCTGCAGGCATGTTTATTCATGGCTTGTGTTTTATCGTCCCACTTAATTTAAAGGAATATAAGCATTTTCAAACATAACCCTTGTCTCCTACACTCTTAAAAAAGATGGTTCTTTAAGGGTTCTTTAGTAAAGAAAATGGTTCTATATAGAACCATATAACCTGCATGATTAAAGCGTTCTTTGCATCATGAAAGGTTCTTTAGATTAATGGAGAATGTGCTGTAGATGGTTCTATATATCACCAAAAAGGGTTCCTCCATTGTAACAAGCTTAATGTTGTAACAGTAGAAGACACTTTTTTGGTATATTTTCCAAATTTTCCCAAATTTTCCCAGAAAACTTGAAGCATCTTGCCATTGACTTTCATTGTAAATGCGTTTCAGGTCAGTGGGTTTTCTGTTAGGTAAAGATAGGTAGAGATATTGAAATTGCCATCCATGGTATTGACCATGTGTTACAGATGCAGCAGATAGAAATTAGGTTGAAAAACTCTGGAATATACAGTCTTAAAAGATGGCTCTTCAAGGTTATTTAGTAAAGGCATTGGTTCTAATTAGAATCATGAGTTCTAGATAGAACCATTTCTTGCTCAAATGGCTCTTTGCATGGTGATATGGTTCTCCAGATAGATGGAGATTGTGTTGTATATGGATCTACATAGAATCTTTATTAAAACAGTTCTTCTATTGGAAAAGTGTTCTTCTATTGTTACGCTGTTAAGTTTGTAGCAATAAAGGAACCCTATTTAGCACTAGGGCTGTACGGTAGCACAGTGGGTAGCCTCACAGCATAAAGGGTTTGATTCCCCAGCCTGGCGACCAGGGTCCTTTCTGTGTGTGGTTTGCACATTCTCCCTGTGTTTGTGTGGGTTTCCTCTGGGTGCTCCAGGTTCTTCCCATGGTCCAAAGATGCTAAACTGGCCCTAGGTGTGTGTGTGAGAACGTATATGTCTGTGTTACTGGCCTGTGATGGACAGCTGCCTGTCCAGGGTGTTTCCTGCCTTCCAACCAGTGACTGTGATAGGCTCAAATAAGGATAAGAGGCTCAAATAATGTGTGCATGTATTTCGTCCTATATAGAACCATAAACAACACATTCTCCATCAATCTAACAAAACTTTTTCAACATGCAAAGAACCATTTAAACATAGTTCTATATATAACCATTGTCTTTACTGAAGAACCCTTGAAGAACCTTCATTTTTAAGAACATACACGAATCAGCTTATGTTTGTTGTGCAGTGTCCTTCCTATAGTTTTAGGCAACATATATGTGAATTGTGTTCTTTTAGGCATCATGTCTTTGTAACCATTTTTTAGAATTCTGTTACGAAATATTTATGAAAGTAATGTTGAGAAGAGCATCGGTCCTTATCACTTGGACTGTTCTTCAGTCGCGGAGTCCGAGAACGTATCCCAACGAAGCACTGCATGGACCCAATGCATCTTGTTCACTGTGAGCTGATGGACATTCAGCCTGGGGGAAAAAAAAGGTTTCTTTTTATTTCTTTTCTTTTTTCGTACCCTCGACGTTGACTTGCAAATGCTGTTCCGTACTGCATTGTGTTTTACTAAGTGCAGCATGCAGATCATTTTACATATCCACTGTAGAACAACGAAAGAGAGAAAATACAGGAAAGAATGAGTCCCACTATTGCACAGGACATAAGTCCATCAGTTGAGGACTTTTAGCTGTGTAAATATGAGCTGTAGACATCAGAATTGTCTGAACAGCAGGTGTAACCGGATATGTAACAGTTGCAAATCTATCAGTGGACCAAGTGGGAGAAATAGACCTGTACATAGTGTTCATAGTACAGTTCCTCGTAACGTAATGTCCTCATTTAAATGGAGGGTGTGTTCCCGTCTCGTCCAAAGTGGACGAAAGCTATACGGTTTTGGTTCATCTCCGCTTTGATCCGTACTGAGCTGTGATGCTGTGCATTTTAGAAACAGACTGTTGGAAATGTAAAGAAAAAAAATCACTGCCTCTCACATCGACCCACCAGACCGCTGCTGTCCTTAGAGCATGTTTCAGGAAAGGGAAGGATTTTGGAAAAAAAATAAGGGAATGAATGCTTTCATTTTGATATGCAGTCTGTTTGTAAGTGCTTAAGATCTGATCAATGTAAAACTTCAACTGTGACAATGTTGAGAAATAAAACATGATAGAAAGAAGAGTTGGTTTTTTCTTGCTGTGCTTGAACTCTCCATTGTGTGGTTTACCCAGAACTGTGGCTCTGTTTTGGCAAGACAGCAGATTATTTACTAGTGACAAATATATCAGATCAAATATATTTGTCACATTGTAAAAATAATTTGATGCTTCATCTTTAAAAAGTTGATTTAAAATTTTACTATTACTATTAAACTTTAATAGTAAGTTAACAGAACAATCGGTTTTGCTTTCAGTGCAAAATGTACTTTTTTATATAGAAAGTTGAAAACATTCTGACTTTTAACGGACTTTAGACTACTTTTTTTTTTGCTGTGAGTGACCTAATGTCTTGATTATGTTTATTTTATCAAAATAAATGATTAAACATTCCATTTTGTTACTAACAAAACAACCATAACACTACTGAAACTTTACCAAGTATTTCAGTAGTGACTGTTTCAGTAGTGACACTTTTAGCTAATTCTGAGCAGAACTCAAAAACGCTAGCTAGCACATAAATAGCAAACACAGCTTTTAACAACAGCTGTACACACATAAAATCATAATATTTTTAATAAAACACAAAAAAGTTTACTAATTGTAAAAGATTTGTGTTTTGGTAGTGACAATTCTTAATGTTCCACACTGGTTTTCAGACTTTCGGGACCCATTTACTTCAAAACGATGAGATCTAACTGTTCACCACATGGCCATGAGGGACAGGAATGCAGTCTCACTTCCTGCTCTAAAATGCAGGGGCGTGGCTAAAATAAGGCTCCACCTACAAACTAAAACTCTGTTTCGGTAGTGATATCAAAACATGGAACAGAATATTTTGAACAAAGCTTTTTTTTATTCAAAAATAAACTCATGATAAGTCTTTCAACTTTAAAATACATTTAAAAAGATTTTTTAAAACAAAACATTGATATTATTTTCACAGATGTATATTTAAGGGTTAGGTTTAGGTTTTAGGTTGAGGTTAAGGTTAGGGTTAGGATTAGAGCCAGGTTTAGAGTTAAAGGAAATGATGGTCAATTAAGTAGATATTTCGCTGGGGACTACAACTAAATGATCTATAGCAGACTTTGGTGGACTACCCAAATAAAGTGAGACCCAAATGTCATGTCCTCTCATTCTCTGTTTAGAGTTCCAATGATTTCAGTCATCACCCTCAGTTATCAGATGACTGAACATCATAGCTTCACAGTTGCAGATTAAGCTTAAGCCTAGGCTAAAAAGAATTTCCAGGGGTGAATCAACACTGGCACTGCTATTTAGTCCAAGACTAGGCTTAATCCATCTGGGAAACTGGCCCCAGTGACTTACAGCAAAGCCCACCATGAGCCCTCTTCTTGAGGGAGGAGAGAGAATTCAAATACCAGACTGCTTATTTTAGACATTCAGGACTGACTGCAGATAGAATTGACACTAGAGCCGTGCAGTGTACACACATGGTTCTACAAGGGTTCTTTAGTAAAGAAAATGGTTCTGGATAGAACCATGGACACCATGGAACCCTTTGCATGATTAAGAGGTTCTTTGCATCATAAAAGTGTTCTTCAGACTAATGGAGAATGTGTTATAGATGGTTCTATATAGAACTTTTTTTAAAAGGGTGCTATATAGCACCCAAAATGGTTCTTCTATTGTTACATTGTAAAGCTTGTAACAATAGAAAAGCCCTTTTGGATGCTATATAGAACCCTTTTCAAAAAGGTTCTATATAGAGCTGTCTACAGCACATTCATGCACAATTTTTATCAACCCGAAGAAATGAGTGTTCATGGTTCTATGTAGAACCATTTTCTTTTGGCACCATCTTTTATAAGAAGAATATTTACATTCAAGATTAACCACTGATATATTAATACTGCATTAAAGGGGAATTCTACACAGTCTAGTTGGTAGCATCCTGTATAAATAAAAATAATGCGTGGCCACAACTTAGTACGGTGTGAGAATGAGATAATTAAGCTTTAGTCACAGCTTAATAAGGCATGACCTCATTCCCACATCTTATTAATTCAGGGCCATGATTCATTTATCTTGTTCACACACCTTACTAAATTGTGGCCATATCATATCAACGTGTGGGAACAAGATCCCAATGCGTGGCCATGACTTATTAAGGTGTGGGAATCAGATAACTGAGTCTTGGCCACAACTTACTAAGGTTTATTGTTATTTATACAGGATGTCACCAGCAAGGCTCCATAGATTTAGATCTGAAATAGTTCATTGTAAAGAAACATACTGACTCAGATTTCTTTACAGTGGTGGTGAGAGGAACCAGGGGCCATATTACAGAAAATTCTTAAGTCTGAGATCATATCATCATATCATATCTTATCTGCTTTGTTGTCATGGTAACTTCAGTTAAGACTAAAGTTAGGACAGAAGTTATTACAGAACAGCAGTTCTTAAGTCTATAATCTTATTTCCAGATAAGAAAACGATATTACAGAAACATCCTAAGTTGCCAAAATATCCTAAATATTTTCTTAACTTTAAGACAACCCCAGAACTGTCTTAACTTCTTTTTTAATTGTCTGTTTCTATTGTTTTATGTAGTGATAAGCAGCACAGTTCACTATAACTAGCATAATGATGCTACATTTATCTACATTGAAAACTGTGCTTTGACTTGTGAGTTTGTTTTTAAAACAGCCTTTTTTAAGAACTCACGCTGCAGACACGATCTCCACCATCCTCTTATTACCTTCAGGTGTTAATGTTTGATAAAAACTCATTGGAATAACGTTAGCATGCTCAGCTAAAGCGTTTGGGAATGGAGACTGAAACTGTGGAGCAGCGACGCTCTGGAAAAACAGCGCGAAGCACTGCCTCAATATTCTTACCTTTCAGTTTATCTCGCTTTAGTTTTATTTGACTTTTCTTTACATCAGTAACAGTAGCTAACGTTAGCTGTCTGACTAACTAACTTGATTGCGTGTTTACGTTTCAGCTGTGCACGTATAGCCGGTTGCTAGGTAACAGACACGACAGTTGATTGTTGACTTCAATCAAGAAAGTTAAGATTTCCTAACTTGAGATAAGAAAAGATGCTGTAAGATAAGATTTGTTTCTGTAATACAAATTTCTGAAAAATCTTATCTTGACCTGTCAGATCTTAAGTTAAGACAAAAAGATAGGAAGTTTCTGTAATACGGCCCCAGGAGTCTCAATGCCTACAACACAAATATAGCCATTTTATTTACTATCCAAACCCACCAGTGAACCCACACATGAGTTTTTATGTATAATGTTGAGGATGGTAAAATGGAGGTAAATCTGCATGCATGTACCCCTCCACCATGAATGGATTTCAAAACAATATTGGTTTAGCCACAACCTTCTAAAAACTGCCCTAAAATGTCTCATGTCTTAGGCAGAGTATTTGTAACCATTTGATGTAATAACTTTCAGTGAAGTACCTTTAAAGGCATTAAAAGCTTAAGGTGTCTGGTTCCCATCACCACCACTGCAAACACCGTGACTTTGGGAGTTTCTCTAGAAATTTAGAAAAGTTGGTGAAATTCCTCTTTATCTGTGCTGACTTTACAAAATGCAAGCTTGGACAAACTACGACCACTAGAGTCCAAACCAAAAACTACAGCTCCACTCATCATTCAAATTCCTGTCTCAGTCAAGTGCTTTATATCATTATAACATCATAGTTTCATTACTCATCATTATTCACTGTAAAGAGGCCGTAGTTGTAAAAATGAAGCCGCACACTGAAAAATAAAAGTCTAAAGCACACGGAGGCCTTTCCACACAGCCGTTAGAGCACTGGTGTGAGAGATAGTCTTATCACGGGGCCACAGGGAGAGATCCCTACTGTCACATGATCAGTGTGAGCAGAGTTTTGGTCCTCCAAACCCTGTCCAAGGCAGAAACGTAGAAAGGTCTGCTATAAAACACAGAGACTGCTGCGGGCAGAGGGCTGAATTATTTACAGATAACCACTGACAGAGAGATTTATACATTTAATTCTTCTCACAGAGTGCTAAGAGCTAGAAATGCCTCTATCACTGCAGAGTCCGCACTGAAAGGTGAGTTGTGTGCAATTTGCAATACTAAAATTCTTAGTTTCCTGTATTTTCAAAAGTCAAGATATCTGTCTACCGAAATATCTGAAATGAACCTTTTCAGATATTGAAATTTTAACTAAAATGAACAATAATCTGTCTTCTATTCTAACTTATTTGAAGTTCAATACATTTTATGTCAGCTTTATTGACATAATTTTACATTAAAAACTAAAAGTGGGAGAGGGGACAGAGGGGGCAGAGGAGGCAATAGGGCCCATGGCTCAAGGAGGTCTATGGTGACCAGCCCCCCGAAAGTCTTTAATGACATAGACAGCGAAAAAAACTGTACAGCAATGGCTCACAGAAAGATCCAGTTCTTAAGAAAACAACACCAGTTAGCTTCCATTAACACCACAGCGACAGAACTGATGTCTATTTATCTTGCTCTTCATTCATAATGCAGCTCATCCATGGTAACCATTTTCAAGCGTTCAATCATTCACAACCTGTTTTTAATTACTTATTATTGCTTAACAAAGCCAAAAAACAGCCTAGCAACACTTTAGCAACTTCTTGGGATACCATAGCAACAGCCTAGCAACACCTTAGTAACCTCCTGGGGCACTGTAGCAACAGCCTAGCAACACCTTGAGCAAACACCTGGGATACTATAGCAACAGCCTAGCAACACCTTAAGCACACACCTGTGATACTATAGCAACAGCCTAGCAACCACCTTGGATACTATAGCAACAGCCTACAATACCTTAGCAACTTCCTGGGGTACTGTAGCAACAGCCTAGCAACACCTTAAGCACACACCTGTGATACTATAGCAACAGCCTAGCAACACCTTAAGCACACACCTGTGATACTATAGCATCAGCCTAGCAACACCTTAGCAACTTCCTGGGATACCATAGCAATGGCCTAGCAACACCTTAGCAACCTCCTGGGATACAATAGCAACAGCCTAGCAACAAATTTGCAAGCACCTGGGATTTCATAGCAATGGCTTTGTCAAGCTAACTTAAAATTAGTTAAGAACTTTCACCCCTGGTTTATAATTATATACTTTTGAATAGGTAGTCAAGTGTAAATATTAATGTTAATGTTAGATGCTGCTGGGTGGATTTTCATGCCTTGAAAGTATGAAATTGTTTGAGACATACAATCTTATGCAAAAGTTTGTGCACCGCTAGTCAAATGACATGTTCAGTTGATTTTCTAAGTGAAAATAAGATCGTCTACAGGCAACACAGTTCTGCACATTTTAATTTATTTTTTTTTTGTTGGTGTATTTAACATAATGGAGAAAAGGATAAAACATAAAATGTGGCCTGTGAAAAAGTTACTGCACGTTTTGTATTTTATGTTTTATCTTTTCTTATATGTTAATGGGTGTGTGGAGTCAATACAACTTAGAAAATATAATTTCAGTGGATTATTATGGTACAATTATGTTCCCTGACTAAAGATACTGAGATTTACCCTTGAGGTTACCACCCCAGAGACAAGAGGGGCAGTTTCTATAAGTTTATATAATTATATTGTACTTGGCAGCTTTGAAAAAGTTCTGTAAAATATGTAAAATGAAGGTACATAGTTTTGTTAGCACGATTAAATAAAATATTAATATTATTTTATGATAGTATATGTTTCATAATATGTTCCATGTTCCCACAGATACAGGATGATGTTGGGTCCAGGGTTTGCTGTGCTGCTCTTTCTGAGCTCTTCATTCGCACACAGCTCAGACTCCTTCAAGTTCTCCACTTTGCCCTCTGGAGGACTAAAGGTTAACTGCATCTCCCACGGCCTCAAGCAAATTCCCACATTTCCAGCAGACACCGCTGAACTGCACCTACAGCACAACGAGCTGAGCACCGTGCCTGCGGGGCACTTTGACGCTTTCAAGAACCTTCGGATGGCAAACCTGTCAGAGAACCCTTTCCACTGTGGCTGTAACATCCGCTATCTGCGAGCTTGGCTCCTCAGGAACAAAGCCGTGACCCCAGTGACCCCAAAATGTGCCAGTCCACCATCACTGGCTCACAAAGCCATAGTTGAACTCAGTGAGAAGGACTTCTCAGCCTGTGTGCAGGACCCATGCTCTGAAGTGCGTTACAATTTCACTGTGGCCTTCATGCTCTGCGTCCTCATCGGCCTGCTCTTCTGGTGCTTCCGTTTGGCCAAAGACCTGACCTTCACCCTGGGCATCGGAGAGAGGCACGTAGGCCTCGAGGCCGAATCCCTGCGCTCGCTCAAACCCAAGCACAGGATGAGAATGAGTTTCGCTGCAGGTTCTTCCAGCTCAAGAGGCGATGAGCTAGAGAGGCCTCTACTCAACATGGAGATCCTACCGCAGATTATTGATGCCCTGCATAGGCAACACAACATTAAGATCAAAGAAACATGAAGAGGCTGAGACTGTGCTGTATTTCTGCTTATACACCTGTGAAAAAGTCACATACAAGTATGTCTATCCAAATATGTCTATTCCATTTAAACTAATGACATTCACACAAAAATGGTGCATGTTTTCTGAGGTAATGCAGTTCTGAGGCCCATTCTTATTGTTTCTCAATACTAGTTTTCTCTACATTCAGAACCTAAAACTCTGTTTCTAGAACATCTGCATTCATGTAATTTTACATGTTCATCCCTAACCCTATTTTGAAGGATATTGCATATCAAAATTCTTAATATTTTGCTCATAGTTGGATTTATGCCAGATTTTGTACTAAAAAATAACCTGAAAAGAATTGTAATAACAGTGCATAGTGTTTTCTCAATTAAACAATAAAACAATGACATTTCAATAGTCTTTTCTGTAGAAAACTTTCTCTGGAGTGTGTCATCACAATGACAGACAAGTGTTCATTGTGATATGTTTTTTTTAATTGCCTTTGTGAATAAAAGAGTTGGATGTACTATGTAAACACTGCTGAAGGTCCAGAACATGCTGTTCACTCTCCAGCACATACAGTCCATATATGGAAACTAAGCTGCAAAAACAGCATGTTTTGAAATGATCCTGGTTGTGATGTCACGAGGCACAGTGCAAAGCAGCCAGTCAGAGCAGAGGTCATTTACATATCAGTCTTAAAGGTCCAGCTTACTCAATTCCAAGGTATAAAAAGTGATTTTACCCTGGAGAAATGATTTTAAATAAAAAAACAAACACACACATGTTTTAAATGGAGGAAAAATACAGAAGTCTGTGACATTTACACTGAAAATGTCATAGTTGGGGTTTTATATTAGTATGTAAATTATTTTTTGATATGATGTCAAAAATCAAAACTGACCTTTGTAACCTTCTTCATTCATGATTTGTCATATCATATTAAGTTCTCGCAGTATTGCATCATAATATAATTTTGCCCCACCTCTAAAACATCTTCTCATTCTTGGTGACATCACTGTGCACCAGCTGTCAGGGAAGAATAATAATAATAAACAATAATATCATGTCTCACCCTCCCACCAATAATGAACAGAAAACACTACGCTAGCTCAGAGATCCCCCCCGATACTGTGATTCGCTTGGAAATACACTATATGGACAAAAGTATTGGGACACCTACACATCACACCTACAGGAGCTTTTATGACATCCCATTCTAAAGTCCATAGGCATTAATATAGAGTTGCTTCCCCCTTTGCAACTGTAACAGCTTCCACTTCTCTGGAAAGCTTTTAGAGTGTGTCTGTGGGAATTTAGCTAGGGTGTATGCATAGCTGAGTTCTATACCAAGAACACCTGTATTCTAGAACAGTAGAAAAGATAGAACGACAAGCTGGGGTTCTACAACACAAGCGTTCTGATTAAAACAACTAACCTTTCTTGTTACTGTACAAGTGCCATAGTTAGAACATAAGTACGCACTAGCTAAGCATTCTACAACCCAAGTGCCTTACTCTTAGAGCACTAGCTAGGAGTTCTACAACACAAGCGCCCTAGTTAGAGCACAAATATACACTAAGCATTTTATATGACAACTGCTCTAGTCACAGTGCAAGTAGATACTAGCTAAGCGTTCTACAATACAAGCACCCTAGGTAGCACAAGTACACACTATCTAAACGTTTTACAATGCGAGGACCCTAATTACAGCACAAAGGAGCACTAGTTAGCTGAAGTGTTCTTAAGCACAAGCGCAAATGTGGTCTAGCTCTAGTGCCCTATGACACAAGCACCCTAGTTAGAGCACAAACTACTTTTTTACAACGCAAGTGCCCTAGTTAGAGTATAAGTACGCACTAGCTCAGCATTCTACAACCCAAGCTCTCTAGTTACAGCACATATGAGCACCAAGTTACTTAGGTGTTCTTAAACACAAGTGCCCTAGTTAGAACACAAGTGAGCATGACAACACACACTAAGCTAAGCTTTCTAGTTAAAGTACTGGTACATATTGGGACACAGTCTAGATGTTCTTGATACAATGCAATGAATACTTTTTTATTTTTGCTTGATCATCATCGTGATTGTCATGTCCTCCAAAGCATTGAAAACATTTTATCTTCATGCCTGACTGCTGGAATTATTCTCTCACTGTTAAAATGTGCTTTTAAAACCAGGGCCAAAAATATTTTGCGCTCCATTAACCTGCTATTACAAAAAATATTGCACACTCGGATGCATTTTACTAAAACTGAAAGCAGTACTGCTTCACTTTCTTGCTACTCTGCAAATAAACCTACATTTCTATAATGAGCTACTTAAGAAACATTGATGGCATAGTCACAAGATGAAAAGTATGTTTTTATTATATACTGTAGTTATTAGTGGTTTATTTTTTAAAGTAAAGGACACTTATAGTTTGTGCTTGGAAATTTGTAAACCCTTCCCAACTTACCAACAATGAGTTGAGTGACAAGTCATGAACACACCATTTCCCATTTGGGAGAGCACATTAAGAAATCATTAACCTCAACCTTAATCTTTATTGAAATGTAGGGCTTTCATTTCTGATTAGTAGCTGCATCATCAGATACAACCTATTATAGCAGATATAAGAGCAGTCACCCAGCAAATAACCCAGTAAATCACAATTGTTTCTGCATACTGAACTAGTCTTATACATGGCATGTACAGTACTGTGAAAAAGTAAAAGACCACCCTTCAGTTATTTACCACACAGTCAAAATGGCAGTATGCAAAAAGCATATTTAACAGAAAATTATACAGAAGCATCAACAACTAAACAACATCAGTTTTCTCAGTATTTAGTGCGCCCACCCTTTACCTTTATTACAACTTCCAACTTTTTAGACTTGCTTTCAGCTTTCCCAAAGAAATCTGCAGGGATACTTTTCCACATTTACAAATTTCAGTTCTAGACTTTGATTACCAGTCAATTGTTCTAAGAACACCAGTATATTCTTTGTTTTGGCTTCTTGACAGCTACACATCCTTTTAGACCCATAGTGCTGAGTTCTTACAGTGGAAGGATGGACAGAAACACCAGTGGATGTTTTCAGATCTGAAGCAGCTTGATTTTCTCCTCTCTCTTAAAGATTAAAGTTTTAAAGTGGAACTCCACCAATATTTCAAAATTTCTGCATAATTAAACAGTTGACGCCAACAAAGTCAGTCAGAGCGGTTTAGTCTGAAATGCTTCATTCTAGAGCAGGGGTATCCAATCTTATCCACAAAGGGCCAGTGTGGCTGCAAGTTTTCATTCCAAATGAGCTGGCGCGCACCTGATTCCACTGAGACACCGTTTTACACAGGTTGAGGATAAAGTCTTGGTCTAAAAATGACTTTAATCAATTTATTTCAAACCATTCATTGCGGAGGAGTACACACAGGGCACTGTGAGGCAATAGTCCCCAAAGAGAACTTATTTGTTCAGATTTTCTAGTTTTACCATCATCAACATTACATTTAAAAACTCATAGCTTCATTAACAGCTTTTGGATAGTCAACAAATTTGCTTTATTTGTGTTGTAGATATCGGGACTCCTGGTTCCTATCACCACCACTGTAAGAAATCTGAATATGTAAGTTTCTCTGCAATGAAACATTTCACACCAATCAACTCCATTTCTATCTGAACCACTGAATTATAGAGAGCTTTTGAAAAATTCGTGGAATTTTCTTTAAAACACTTTATCTGATGGAGTTTTAGGTCTTACAACAGGTGGTTGTTAGGAGTCCCAATTTTTCTGGATCTTTTCATCTCTTTCGAACTTCAGTTTTGGAAAGTCCTGTTTTTTTTCAACTTATTTTCCTTTGACTTTGTCCTTCCTTAAGCGAGCAGATTATGTTCTACGTAATCTCAGGAATATCTCCTGAAAAATGAACATTGGCACTTAATGGTCATTTTCACTGGACATTAAATGAAGGGCAGTCTTTGGCTTTTGTACAGTACTGTATATAATTGACCCAGAGTGCATTATGGTATTATTAGGCTGCTTTTTTCCTTTCTCAGCCATAGTACCATAATTATTGAGATTTTAGGCTAGAAATAAATATCACCAACACCATCACTTTCTCAATCCTCCTCCAGCTTTATTGATAGTTTAAAATTACATTTTCTATGTTATAGGACTCAAGTTGCATCTTCTTTCCGACTTAAAAACTGAGTACAAGCAAATGATATTCTTACAGTAGTCCAAGTGATATTGTACAAAAATAATATTTGATTTCTGTGAAAACATTCTCCTTTTGCAAATTACTGATAAATCCACAAGTTTATTGTTCTTGATAATTTAGGATAGAAATGACTAAAATTACTTTTGGAATATTTAGGCATTAATGAGCAACGTTTGCTGAACTTGCAAACTGATGACTTTGTACAAAAAAGTCAAAAGAAAAAAAAAAAATAAAAGGAAAAAGAACCTCACAAGAACTTAGGATTTCTCGAAATTTCTGAATTTTGTGTTATCAGCATTATTGATACAACATTTCTTCACAAGTTAACGCCCACCTTGTTTGTGGGGCCCGGATTAAGATGGATTCCTATGCTGTGAATGGTTATCCCGGTCATACTCTCTTAAGCCAACTCATTTATCCCCAACTGAATCTAACCAAAAAAAAACAAAATCAAAAAATCTGTACACAGAAATTGAGGCTTCCCCAACTTCTGCCCCTCAGCGTCAGGCTCGCTTCGAGCTCAGAGGTCCTACATAGCACACTGTGCCCCAGTCATTGATCTTCTCACCAGCGGCATGAAAAGGGGTCTTTTAACAAAGCATTATACATAACACCTCTACCAAACTAAACAGACATTTTGTATTGAATGCAGAAAGATTTTTCCACCCCTTCATTATTTTTTGTTTTTTTAAGTTTAAACATGTCAAGAAGCTCACTGGCCTGGGACAAGCCTCTGTCTGCCAACCTTTGGCCAATGAAGAGGATTCCGAGAAAATAATACAACCAACCATCAATCTGAAAAAGGAGGGGGTGACAGAGGAAGCCGGTTATGCCGAAGCTTCAATCGTGCATTCTCTGGCCAGGTGACCGGTCTTGCCACAGTTGTAGCAGTTCACCTCACTGGCCTTGCTGCACTGCACTGCCACATGGCCAATCTCACCACACCTGCAGTTGTGGTAAAAAATTAGAAATGCATCCAATAACAATCTCTTTCACTTTTTATCAAGCACTATTAAAAAATGCCAAAGTGTACCATATTATGAAGAAACAAAGGAAAGATATGGACCACAATTAATCAAGCATCTGATCTAAGATCAGTTCAGGTAATACTATACAAGGGACTACGTATTCCATACTATATATGGAAAGGACACAAACTGATCCCTTATCTGCTTACTTGCTCTGTGAAGTTTTAAAGATCTAAAGATGAAAAAATACATTTGTTTCTATTTTTGTTTCGATTTCTTACCAATTTTCTCCGCATGTCCAATTCCACAGTTTCATATTTTTAATATGTATTTTTCAGATAACCAGTTAAGTAAATAAATACTAAGATGAGCTGCCATATAGAATTATGTGAATATCCATGCCCATCCCTAGCAGGAACACGCCAGGATGTCAAAATTAAATAAATCAATGCATACTAAAGTTTTATTTTGGACTCACACTCAGTGGCAAAGACCTACCGATAGCATTTCACTTTGTCACAGAGTTTCTGGATGTGTCCAAATCCTCCGCAGGAGTAGCACTTCTGCTCATTGGCATGGTCGCAGTCTCGAGCCACATGGCCGGCCTTGCCACAGTTGTAGCAGCACTGCTCTCGCTCCTTCTTGGGCTCCTTACAGTCCCTCGAGATGTGACCACTCCTGTGGCAGTTGTAGCATGCTGTAAAATAAAATACATGTGAAAATCCCACCTGGTTGGCTTTCCAAGCACCCCTTTGCTACACTAATGCCTCTAACAGTTCACACCAAAACATTACAAGTGTAAAAGACTTTGAAAAACAGTGCCTCACCGTCCTCCGTCTGTTCACAATCCCTGGCGATATGCCCTTGCTCTCCACATCGGTAGCAGAAGAGATCTGAGGAAGACACAAAAATGAACGTCTAGCAGGTAAACTATATACGCTCTTTGGCAACTCAAACAACCAGCTTACCCTTTCCTCTTCCTCTGCCCCTCCCGCGGCCACGGCCAGCATTGGGACAGTTCTTGACCCAGTGGCCAGATCGGCCACATCCAAAACACTCACTGCTGCTCATATCCATTATCTAAAGAGGGACAAAAATATGCATATACAATTTATCAAGTAAATCATAAGATGCCAACAGAAAAAAATTAGAGGGTTCATGGAAAAGTTACTGGTGTAAAACCTAATAAAAAGAATAATTCATTAATGCTGGCTGACGAACAGTTGGTGTTTTTTTTTTTAAGCTGAGATCACAACTGTCAAACCTGGCTTTTAACTTAGCTGTCCATAAAGACATGCAAATTAAATAAATATAAAAATGAAAATCTTATATAGCCAAGAGGCCAACTAGAGATTTGTTTTTTAAAAGTCTATAGTTACAGAACGTCCCATTCAAAGCCTATGCAGTTTAAATAAAAGTGAGTTAGCTTGCTAACCTAGCTTGCTAAAGACACATGCCATGTGAACCAGCCCACATGGAATGAGGCAGGAATCAGCCAGCTGACTTTCCATGAGGGTGCTATAACTCAAATTAAGCTACTGTAAGAAAGGCCCGAGATTAGGGGTTGTCGATCTGGCAAAACAATTATATCATGATACTTCAACACATCTTCACGTTTCCCGATATGTAGCAAGCTATTTAGTTTTTCTTAGATTTCATAAGTTGAAACCGACAAAATAGAACCTGTAGTGTCATAACAGTTAAAATAATAATAATTATACACATAAAACATATTTAACTTTACTACACTAAATCTAATTAAGTAGACCTAATTATATTTACTTTGTAATTAAACATGGTTATTCGTTGTTCTTTAAGCACTGACGATATGCTCAGAAGTACAGGAGCGTATTATGACACGATTGATCACGATAACGATAAAACATCCTATTGCCTACCTGTAGTGAGCTACTGAATCGTCGTGTCAAAGTTACTTAAACTAACAAACTTGGAGACCAAGCAATAGCCCGATAACGTCTTTAAAAACGTGTTGCAGGTCTTGCAATACCGATCAGGGTGAAATTCGAAAGTTGATCACAGAAAAAGCGAATAAGAAACAGAAGAGCACTAGTGTGAACGGGCGCCAGCCAACGTGCGCTGCGCTCAGAATGTGCAGCTCAGCGTTTCTTCACAGGGCCGCAGCAACGAGGCTGAAGTTGGCTTCCTATTCGCCATCTGCTTATTCTAAATACCCTGTTCCACCTTAAATGGTGCAGCAGTTACATTCTGGAGGCACCAGAATGTAACTGCTGCACCATTTAAGGTGGAACGGAGAAATTCGAACAAGAAGCTGACTTAAGCTTCGTGCCGCAGCAGTGCACCACGTTACAGGTCCAACGATGTCGACCGGACAGTCTTCGATGGCTTACATTTCCCAAACGGACTAAAACCTGCATTTAATCGGTTTCGCATTAATTTAATTTCAAACGAAAAATAAACACGAGAAGTCATTTTTTTTCCCGCGCAGCCACGCTGCAGCTAGGCCACGAGACCTGGCTAACCAGCTAGCCTAGCTGAGAGAACTCACTCTCCGCTGCATTTACTTGCTATTTTAAGACATTATTACTGCCCAGCTTTAAAGATTAGACGTTTTGTGTTTAATATAAACCGACAAAGTAGTAAGTTTGCGAACAAAAAGAGCGTAAAAGCGTCTCGGACTCACCTACTTGCTTCGCTACAGGCTAGTTAGCTACGTGACTCACTGGCGTGTGACTCCGCCCCCCTCTCCGCTGCGCCACATGCGGTTTGCGCATGTCCGTTTAGACTGACGGACACAGCAACCAATCACAGATCGGCCGAAGCGAAAACCCGAACCAATGACAAACGCGCGATGCTGGCCACCACCCCCATGAACTATCCAATCAGAGGCGGCGTGAAAACCACAGTCCCGCCTATGTGGAGTTTGCTCCAACGCGATGATTCCAGTTCCCTACTCCCTATGCCCTACTCTCTCTGCCCTGCTCCCTATGCCCTACTCCCTATGCCCTACTCTCTCTGCCCTGCTTCCTGTGCCCTACTCTCTCTGCCCTGCTCCCTGCAGCCTTGGCTTCGCTGCACTGCAAAGCCACATGGCCAATCTCACCTCACCAGCAAAAAAGAGTTTTGTGTTAATAAGGGCTGTAATTAGCACTTAGAACATGTAACAATCAGTGTATATCACAGTGAGTTAACAAAGACGACATTAGCTACAATTAATTAAGCATCTGATCTAAGATCGGTCCACGTAATACTATTCATGGAACTATATATTCTGTACTATACATGGAGAAGACACAAACTGACCCCATATCTGCACACTTGCTCTGTGAGGTTTGGTAAATAAGGGTCTTTATATTAAACACTCATTTATTGTATGCAACTATGATAAGAGGCAATGCGTACTTGTGAGCTTATGGCATATACAATTTAACTTAGGTCATGTATAACTACACATTAGGGTAAGAACAACTACGTCACATTCTGTTCTCTGCAGTGCTTGAAAAACTACAAAACATGCTTATTTTTATTTCTTTCCAATTTCCTCCCCATGTCCAATTCCACTATTTCATTTTCTTAGTATTCTTAGTAAACTACACGTGCATTTCCCTACTCCCTATATGTCAGGGTGGACGGTTGTATGCAAAAGTTTGAAGGTCAAATTATACATTTTGTGGATTTTCTAAGTGAAACACATCCTCTACAGAGAACAGAGTAAATATGGCATTTTCTCAAAACTTGGACTGGAGACTGGAGGCCTCACCAAGATACCCCACACAAAGCAGGAATGTTCATCCAGTGTGGTATTTAAGTTGCTTTGGCAATTTTTGCCAACAGTCTGAGTAGCTGATGTTGGTATTTAGAAGTGTTTAATGCAGAGCAGTGTTAGCTTGCTTGTAGCATGTATGCAGCATTACTCACTGTATTTCAAACGATCCATGCATGTATGCAGGACAAAACGTGTCTGGTCTTGTTTACCACAAAGTGTGACAGCAGCGATTTTTAAAACTCTATTCATTTCATTTCTCCCATAGAGAAATCTGTCAAAACCCAGAGTTCCTAATGTGTGCATGACACCAACCAGAGAGCCATAAAATGAAAACACATAAACAAAAAAAAAAAATTAATTAATTAAAAAAAATTGCTTTCCAGCATCTTGTTTCCATCAAACTGACTTAAACAGACTTTTAGTGATTAAAAACAAAATTAAGTAATGATGTCATTCCCTGAAAAAACTGTTGCTGCATATGTTTTGGTTTGTTGTTATAAAAAGCTGTGTTTGACATGCTTCCATCTCAAATTTCATGTAGGTCACAACTTATGCACATTTCCTGACTTCCCCATTACCTACTGATTAGGAAATTGTGTTTATGTTATTTATTTATTTTTTTTTCCCATCGCCTCCTCTTCAGTCCAGCTAAGCCTCTCCACCATCCGTTTGTTAATGAGTTTGTTTGTGTTTGAAGCATGTGAGGGAAATCTGTCACTAAATTTATGTCTATATGTGACATTTTGCCCCCCAAAATGTTACAAACATAGGTTTTTCGCAACACTTCAACAAACATAAACAATGTTTTGATAAACAATTTTTAACCATTTTTTATCAAAATACTACATGCAATGTCCGATTCCATAGCCTATATAGACACATTTTTAATGTGCTTAAAATGCTTTATGGAAAAAAAAATATTTCAGATGGAAACAAAGCTACTGACACAGGTCTTCTTGGGATAATAATAAGGCAGTTAAAGAGGAACGAAAAGTAAACAGCAATAATAAATAAACAATTGATAATCGTTATTGAGGAAGGTATTTCTTTAGAAAATATTAAATTGCATTCAGCTTAATGTGTCTATCTGGTACTCTCTCCTCTTTCGTTCTCTCTTTTCCTTTCACACAGACTCTCTTTTCTCTTTCTATGTCCCTCTCTCTCTCTCTCTCTCTCTCCCCTCGTTTGAATATGCAAATACGATTACGTCATCGGACCTCCGCTTTTTTCGCTGAAGTTAGCTCGCTATGGCGGAGCTGAAAGTTTCAAACTTTCCTTAAGGTACGTTTGTTTTAGTTTGTAACTTTGTGCGTTTGGTCCTCATTTCAACGCTTCTTAAACTTTCCCTCGCCTTCTTCCCACAAACGACAGTGTACGGAGACTCGCCTTTCAGATAAAAATACGTGTAAATAATAACGCGCAGTGTTTCGGGAGGTTTGTATGCGTTAGCTTAGCTTAGCTGAGTTTTATGAAGGACGTCGGTTTGGTTTCTTTCGGAAAAAATGGGGGCTTTAAAACGGCACGTTTAGGTGTTTTTCCTACCCCAGTACATGTATTTGAACCTCAGGGTGGTCTTGGGGATTAATTTGAGCTGAATCAGCTGTCTTGGAGCAGGACAAAAACAGTAAAATGTGCAGAGCTTTGAGAAACTCTGCAGTTAAACTCCAGCGCTACAGGGCTGTATAGGTGTTAGCTTAGCCTAGCCTGGCCGGGTCTTAAAGTGTAAACAGTGCTGGTTTTGGTGTGTGTAGGTAAATTAAGTGAGAGCAGTGTGATTCATTCAGATTTTTAGGAAATCCGGATTACCTTTTAGATAAGTTAACGGTAGTTTTTTTTCTCTCCCTGCGTTTGTGGTGGTCAGACTTTGCGCGGACCGTCTGCCAGAACGATGCCAGCGTTGGTTTAGCAAACGTTACGAGTGCAGAGTGAAGTTAGGTGGACTACTTTAAAGGGGAATTTCACTGATTTTTCTAAAATTCTGCATAATTCAATGGTAGATATGTAAACAAAGTTATTTAGAGTGGTTTGATGCGAAATGTTTTATTGGTAGAGAAACTTGCTGACTACTACTTCCTTACAGTTGTGGTGAGAGGAACCAGGAGTTCCGATGTCTACAGTGCAAATATAGCCATTTTATTTACTATGATCCTGCTCGTGTCTTCTGAGTGTGTATGTGTTTATCTATCTATCTATCTATCTATCTATCTATATATATATCTATCTACACACACACACACACATACTCCAAGATTTCATTTAATTCTGTGTATGTATATATATATGTATACGTATATTTGTGGGGACAGTTTTGCCCTACAGCACCTTGCATGTATGCCTCCACCATGAGTGGTAGTGTATTCATAACCACTTCATGTAATATCTTTCTGTGAGGGAGCTTAGAGGTGGTTCCTTTCACCATCACTGTGACTAATTCTGACTCAGTAAGTTTCTATAAAACAAAGTGGTTCGCACCAAACCACTCTGAATGATTTTGTTGACATGTCAACAATTTAATTATGCAGAAATTTTGAAAAATTATAGGAGTTGCCCTTTAGTGTCACAATTAGGCTTTTGTGAAAGTATACGTTGGGCAGAAGTGACAAAGCAAAAGAGGTTTTGTAGCTGAGGTGAGTAGTAACTAGTTACATTTATTCCTTTACATGCACTTAAAGGGAAATTCCACCAATATTTCAACATTTCTGATTAGTTCAGTGGCTGAGATGTAAACAAAAGTGGTTTGATTTGCACCATTCTGGAGAAACTTAACAGTAAGTTGGTTTTGAATGATGGTGAAGTGCACATCACACTGAACAATCTATCATTTAAGATGATGTTAATACTAAGATGCTTTTGGAAAAATTGTAATGGATTTGTACTTTGTATTTTTAAATTATAATACTTGTACTTCTACTCAATGTTTGTGAGGAAAGTAATCTACTTTTTACTCAGGTACATTTTAATCACTAATTTACAGTCACAATTTTCTAATTTTTAAGCTTAACCTTATTTTATGCTGATAACGACACTTGAACTGTTTTTGCCATTACTCACACCTCTCACTTTGGAGCTTTATTGTTTTAGTTTAGACAAAGAATGCATCAAAAAAAAAAATAGAGGCTAATAAACTTCTCTTAATAGATCCTGGATTTATTAAGAAGTTCCATTGCTCTATAAGTTGCTCAGCAGTTTTTGACTTGCTACTTTTGTACTTCTATTCAGGTTGTTTGGCATTTTTACTTTTGTTTAAGTCATTAAATTACTAAAGTCACAGTATTTTTTCTTACCTATGAGTTTAGGCTACTCTGCCCTCCTCTGTTTTGTCCACTTTAACACTTTACTTTTAACTTAATGTATGTTTTATTGAGTTTGTCAAGAAAATGTTCTGCTTGACTTTGTGGTGGGTGTTTAAAAGTGTTTTTCTCAGTCGTTGCTGTTTTGACCGACAGAAAAGGAGGGTGTTACTGCGTAGTGCAACATTGTGGTGCTGTCAGCTAATACGTGCATACTTTTTGCCATAGAAGTGGCCTGTGATGCACTGGTGGTCATTAACGGGGCCAAAATCCTAAATTTGCCTTTTATTTTATTTTTTTGTTGCCCTGATGATGATAATGTGGTTTTATGTATCATAATTTATCATAATTTATTTTTACACTATCATTTTCCAACCTCGTTTTATCCCTTAAAGCCTTTACACGTTTATTTGTATGTCAGTAAATGAAATCGAGCGCAAGTACATCTGATGTCTTGAACACACAGCCTGATTTTCCACAGGGCAAAGAGTCAACATTGTTTTATTTGGCCTTTGTTTGATTTTTGCTGATTCTTACTGGTGACCGGTCCAGTCACTGCGGTCTTTGGTGTTGGATTAGCTGTCTTCCATCAACTGCACTGTTAGAAATAAAGGTCCTGTGCATGTACATTTTTCATTTATCGAAGTACAAACAATGTAAATGTACTCTTAAAGGTACAACAGTGGTTTTAAGGTCCAGTTATGAACCTTAAATAAGTTTTTCCAGGTAAAAAGTACATATTTGTACATTTTCATAACCTAATGTTTTAAAACAGTACAATAAAATATAAAGCCTGGGGATGAGATGGGGTGTGTGTGGTCAATACAACTTAGAAAATATAATTTCAGTGGATTATGGTACAAATATGTTCCCTGAGTAGGATGTACCCTTGAGGATACGACCCCAGTGACAAGAGGGGTACTGCCCCAGGGACAGTTTCATACCTTTTTTTCTGAGAGTGTAAGAACGTTCTGACAAATGTGTAGCTTTCACTAATTGGTTTTCTGTTTCTAATCCAAAAATAGAATGGACTGAATGTTTCATGATGAATCAAGGAAATTAAACCGTTTCTGCAACATCCAAGCTTCAGCTCCTGAATGAGTCGTCGAAACTTCCTCGCTGATATGTAAATGGTCTCTGTTCTAATTGGCTGCCCTGTCCAAGCGTTCTGCTTCCCACCTCGGAGCGTTCATGTACCATCATTTGTTTTCGATCTGAGAAAATAGATGCTGACAGTAAGATGTCACATTTAAGAGCTTAGTGCATATAAAAGGCTCTTAATAAGCCTTTACACTGGAATTAAAATGTTGTTTGGTTTGTTCATTTTAAAAGTGAATGTAACTAACAATCTGTTCTTAATGCCCCAAAGGTTACATGATGGTGCTCAACTCAGTCAAAAAGTAACCATCCAATTACACAGGTGTCCTCTTTATTTAGCAAAGTAATATGTAATTAGAATGTCATGCGCAAATAAAAACTCGAAAGTCTACATAAACAGCTTAAAATGCACTTTTAGTCTTCATCATGACGACATTGTAACTGAGAATTCAGAGCTCTTGAGAACTTTGGAGTAATTTTCAAGTACAGTTTTCCCACTTACCAGTTCAGACTTTGTGATGAGCATATCATTATGAATTTAGTGGGACTGGGTGTGTTAAGTTGTATCTTCGTATATGCAAAAGTTTTATGACCTCACACAAACAGTAAATTCAAACTGGGCTGTTTATTTTCAGTATGTGGACTGTAAAGACTGGGTAGTGAAATGGTAAATGCTTACATGCAAAATCAAAATAAAAAAAAACAACCAAGAAAACTTCCGTTTTTTATGACGTTAGCTCTTTAAGGTCTACAAATACTGGCTGTTATTGTAGTGCACATTTGGAGCAAATGCCTATAACCAAGGCTTGGATGATTGATGCAGAAGTTGAGTACATGTTTATGAGAATGCATTCTAAATAGTATTGCAGCGGTTCGTTTTGTCTGTGGATGAGTGTGAAACTGTCAGGTCCAGATCCGTGGCTGTTTTAGTAGTGCAATATTGACATTCATTTCAATTGAATTTATATATATATATATATATATATATATATATAAAATATGCATGCCTAATGTGTGATTCCACTGTATTTTTGCAGGATAAATAGCCCAAAAGCTGCATTCTTGCAGACTTTCTAGGGTTATCAACACCTGTGAAGTATCAGCATTCACCTCGCGCATGCATTAGCATAGAGCAGAAATGTGTACTAGTATTGAGTTACACATACCAGCATGATTAAAGGGGTTATCTGTTATAAAACTAACATTTGCTGTTATTTGTCATGTTATTTAAGGTTTTGTAGTGCAGTATTGCATCCCACAGCCTTAATGGTTTGTCAAGCTAACAATTTTGTATCCTTTTTGTGTTTTTTCGTTCATTGGTGATCTCTCACTACAATACCCAGCATGCATAATGTAAATATATAATCATTGACGTAGAGGCTTTAAATATAGAGGTGATATTTGGCTTCCTAGCAGTAAGGTTAGCTAATTAGCTTGCATTCGCCAGCTAGCAGAAAACAAAAACATCACAAACAATCCTTCCTCAAGTATCTGCCTTAAAGAGGTTTTCAAATATTCCTCCCACCTTCAAGAGACATTATCAGGGGGTTTTCCTGATCTTTAAACAGTAACATTTTGCTTTAGAGTTTGCTGCGACACCTCTGCAGGATGCAAGTAAGCATGTTTATGAAAGATGTAGCGATGGATACATTTTTCATTTTAGTCAGTGAGCCTTTAATGAATTACTCAGAACTGTGATATTTGGTATCTTGACGGTACTTGTTGTCAGTAGGCTAGAGATGCTCAGCTCTGCCCTGCGCTGAGTTAACCTTCCTACTGTTTAGTACCAGAGTTAACACATTTGATGCAGTTAATTATGGTTTCAGGAGCATATGGGTGATAACGACTGATATGTCCGATAAGAGCTGTATGAATGTGGCCCATATTCAGAAGCTGGATTGGGTTTTCCACATGAGCTGAAAACACGCTCAGACAGTGTGCTGGATTGACCATGAATATTCTCATTGCCATCTTGACAGCACAGATGAATTGTGGCAGCCCAAAGGTCCAGCTAGGCTATGCTGGAAGGTTAGCATGATTTTGCAAGATGTAGTTCTGCGAAAATGCTGTCAAATCATGCCTAGTGTAACCTCTCAGTAACAATTATGGTTTTGGGAGCATCTGGGTGATGTCTAATGTATGAATAAGGTCCATAATTAGACGCTGGATTGGCAGTTCTGAAGGTGGACGTTGCCTATTACCAATTGGTTTATTATTTTGAATTTTTTCAGTTCTGGTTCTTGTTCCTCATTTTGATTCTTGGTCAGTGTTGGCATTTACTGCAGTAATAGCTAATTCCAAAAGGGCAGTAGTAGACCTAATCAGTGTTGTTCTGCATGAAAAGCTGTCCAGCCCTTTATGTTAACAGGCAGTATTGTAGGCCATGTGTTAAGAAGGAAACAAACCCACACAAAAAGAACTCGCCATACTGCTAATGCAGCTGAAGTTCTGTAATTCTCTACTCACCTCTGAGCCTGTGAGTTGGATTATCATACACTTTTTTTCCATTGTGATATGATCAAACAGTTAACCAACATTTTTAAGTTTACAAGTTGGGATGTACCGATTGTGAACCAATTAAGAGTACTGTGAGCAAAGGACAGTGATTATTTTATCAATGTATGGACTAATTTAAAACATGAAATTTTGTTACAGAAAAGGCCCTAGGACAATATAAAATTCAATAAAAAGTTTACCTGTATTTCCAACTTGGGCTGTGTATGGGTCATTTTTTTTAATGCCAATCCGGATTACCTTGACTTCAATTCTGACTTCTGAACGACACCTTTTTTTGTTTTGATAGCTTTTTTTGAATTACAAACAAAGTGGATGTGGCTTAAACCAGAAACTTAACTAAACATTATATTATTGTCTTAATACATAGAGATTTATAACTACCAAACCACACCATGAACAAAGCTAGTTTGACCAGAAACACTCAAACACAGAGCACTCTGGTTTTTGCAGGCTTTTCCATTGCATTCCCACATTACTTCTCATGCTGCAAACAGGTTATCAGAGAAAGATGCTGCAGATATTGATTAAAGTTCTCTACAGCCCATAGGTTAGGGTTAGGAGCAGCTTCTCTGGGAATATTGGGATCTTTTTTCCCTGCATGAGCTGAAAACATGTTCAGACAGTGTGCTGGTGGTGCATTACAGAAAAAAAATCTGGATCTAAATATGCAAATTGCTGTCTTGACAGCACAGATGAACTGTGGCAGCCTAAGGTCCAGTTAGATTGTGCTGGAAGGTTAGCATGATTTCACAAGATGTAGTTCTGCGAAAATGCTGTCAAATCATTCTTGGTGTGACCTCTCAGTAACGAGAAGGTTTAAGAAGCTGTAGTTTGGGGAGCTGTGGTAGTCATTCCTTTTTCCTGACTGTTTTCTACCTGACAGCTTCCATATAGCACTGACAGAGATGTCTGAAGAGTAGCCTTGGAAACCATAATGTTGCTGTAATAAATGGAGCTACTTGCTTCTAAATGTGCGTTTGCCATCTTTTGCCAAGATATGCTTTTTTGTGCGTCATTACTTCTTAAAGAACTCTGAACAACTGCAAGTTTCATTGTAAAGAGAGCATGAACAGTCCTGTTTAATTAGATTTAGTGCAATGTAGTGTATAATGTATGTAAAATGTACAATAATGTGTAGTTGTGGTTTTTTCCACAGTGTTTTTTGTGGCACCACTGGATCTTTTTTTGTTTGGTCTGATCCAATTTATCAGATATTTGGACAAATCATGTATAGTGAAAATTTCTTGAAATATTGTGATGGTACATTTTTTTCAATTTTCCCATCTCTACGATCTCGCACACTAATCACTGTGTAGCAGTCCTCACGTTCTGTCACATACAAAACAGTGCATTATTAATAATCCGTATTGGTGTAGGTATGGCATTTTACTACCTGTTGCAGTGCATTCTGGGATTGCAGATGTGCTGTGGAAACTCTGCTATAGCTGCGTACTGAGAGCTAGGCTGCAGCCGAGAAAGGGAGGGCTGCCCTATGAAGTATCCTCTTTTGTATTGCATAATGCAACGCAGAACAATCTACCAAGGCCGCTTTGTCATATCATAAAAAGCACAAAATTAGTGGAGAATTGGTGCATTCCATTTCGCTCGGAAGTTGAATGTCGGAGCTGGGGAAGACGTCACACCTGAATTGACTGTGTTCCAGGAAAACATTCAAAAAACAAAATGGACGCCTCCAAAAAAAAAAAGGTTCTTGTGCCAGTTGATAACTATGCATTATGTAGTATTTTGTGAATTTGAACACAGCAGCAACAAGATAGAAGTTGGACAGTACTGTGTATTTAATTATAATCAGTATATTACTACAGCTTTTACTTACTGTTGATGTATAGTGCAGCCATCTTGGATTTTGAGTTTGGAGTTGTTGAGGCTCTCCTGAGTTTTTGAGTAGGAAATCTTACTTGTGTGGGCATTCCAGTTGAAACTTCCTTCTGGGAACTTGGAAATTCGATCTTCCCAGTTCCGATGGAATGCATAATATGATGAGCTGGCAAGCAAAACGCTGATGTGAGTGAAGTGATATGTGGCAGGCTAAACTGTTTGTCCTGCAAGCTAAAAACTATAAGCAGTTCACACCCTGTATTCAACGCACACCCTCTTAAACACATATACAGCTAATAAAAGACCATACTGTATATGATGCTGTATATTTTACTGGCCTTTTTATTTGCTTCATCAGATTAGACATGTGCACAGAGGATTCTGAGTGACAGAAGATCGTAAAAGATACTTCGGTATTGTCTTGGAGAAATGGTCAGAATGCAGGTTGCATTTTGCAGTCATATCTGAATAATCCTTCTGATTGGAACAACCTAGGATGATGTAGCAGTCTAGAAATGCAGCCTAGTTTTTGGAGTGCAGGTTATGGCTCTGTTAAAAATAGCCCACTGCATACTGCTCATGTAGTGATTGTGCTCAAAAGAAGAAAGGAGTATGCAGTTTGTGGTCAACGTAATTTTTTTCCAGTATGCTAAAGATACCTGCTCTGGCCAAGTTTTCCTGTATACATGGCATACTGCATCCCATAATGCATTTCCGGAGGATGTAAACATGTATGTACCTTGTAATATGGTACACAATGGTAATTGTTGCATACTGGATACTATACAGCATATCACTAGGAGGAGTAGCATAGAGTAGGGGTAGTAAAAATAATCGATTCTTACATACGTCATAATTCTCTCTTGAAAGATTCTGAATTAAATTACTAAAATATCATAATCAGATGTTTATATAGGCTCTGCTTTTCCAGGACAATAAACAATAAAAACCTAATTTAAAGTACTAACAAAGGTTAGTAATAGCGTAGCGGTGTTATTTGGTTAAAAAGTCATTTTATTAAGTTGAAGTTTCTGCAATGAACTCTTCTATATATTGTGATTAAACTGTTACTTTTGTTTTAATTCTTAGGTGGTGAAATAGGCCTAAGCCTAGGCATAGACTTAACAAGTGCACAGAGTTTAGCCTATGTTCAAATTCAACTAAGCTATCACTGTGTAATCGAATTGAATTGTGAGGTGCCTAAAGAGTCCCACTACTAGCATGGAGTATACAGTACACACTGGTAAGCAGTACACAGTATGCTATTTCAAATGCTCTGTTTTCATGCACCCCTATGTAATGTCACACTTCCAATGTAATGCAGCATACAGTGTACAGAGCATAGTTTGAAATAGCTTGACTCTGCTGCTGCTTAAGGTATGTTTAACCACTTTCGGAACCTCTGAAATTCTGAATGCTTTTCTTCCGCAGTACTGCAATCTTATTCCAATGGAGCACCTCCAAGGAGCCTGGAAGACCCTAAGCAATGGGCTAGGAATGAAGGATTCTGTCTTTGACAGTACGTGCGTCTCCCCAACGACGGTGCAGGGATTCCCCTACCAGCGCCGCTCATCAGATGACAGCAAAATCCCGGACTCCAAAACAAGCAGCACCATCCGAGTGTACCTCCCCAACCAGCAGCGCACTGTTGTGAGTGAGAAACAGAGTCTTGCCAGTGATGCACAATGTAGTAATATCACAAGACCATTTTGGACCATTCTGCTGTTCCATTCATCATGGAATGCTCACAAAATGTTGAAAGGGGCAGCTGACAGTTTTAAAATTATTTAAAATAAAAAAAAATCATAGGAATAACCTTCTGTGTATATTTTGTGTGTTCTCATGAATCATAAACAGTGGAGTCAATTTTATTCATGTTTGGCTTTCTGTGGTTTTAGCCTAGTGTTTTGGAGGCCTACCCTGTCCAGAAGGCACTTTCTGACAGTTTATGAATTTCTGCTATTCATGTACTGTAAGGAAAATTCTTTTACAAGGCATGTGTTGCTGTGAAAAGCCATAAAGAGTTGTAATTATACTACTCTTTTCTATGCCAGAGTAAATAAACAAGAGCTCTAGTTTTCATTTGATTCCTTTGTCCTCCAGCGATGACTGTCACATGCAGTGCTTTAAACCTTAAATCTCAGCTGTGTTGATCCTGTAGCAAATAAAAAATAATTATTTGTTTGCTGTTACTGCACAGGTGAACGTGCGGTCCGGTATGACTCTCCACAGTTGCCTTATCAAAGCCCTGAAGGTGCGAGGGCTTCAGCCTGAGTGTTGTGCTGTCTACAAGCTCCATCCGGGCCACAGAAGGTACAGTTGCTGTTGCTTATTTTGTTTGTTTTGAATAGGGCTGTCACTATTGATCAGTAATTATGTAATCTACTAATTATTTTGATGATTATAAAGTTTTTGAAAATGGACTTAATAATAACAAACCATGAAGAACATTTTCAAAGACAAACCTCATTAAATATACATATAAAAAACACAATATGGCAAGAAATGTTTATAAAGTGTGTTTGTTTATCCATTAGAATATAAAAATATCATACAGATTTGTAATTCATCAGTCAGATGAGTTATAAAATGTACATATTGTTATACATTTATACATTTGTTATACACATATGCATTTGTTGTGTGTACTAATATTGTCCTGTTAAACCTCAACCCTGTGATGTTACTTGGATATTTTCGTTTGTAGCATCTCTTTGAGAAGTTGCAGTGTTTTACTTGCTCTAAAATCAACGCTTTTTTTACATTTGTAAACAAAGGACAGAATTGTGGGTTTGTTGTCTAACCACAGAACTGAGGTCAGTAGAGGTGATGCAACTGGGCGGGTGCATGTGTTTGTAGAAGTTTGAAGAAGAGACGGAAATGAAACAGCACAGTTGTTGGAGTTGAAAATAGTCGACATTTAAAACAACATGATAATAAATGATATTACAGATCTTGAGCAGTGCTCTGCTTGTTTACTTGAGCATTTTTGGTATAGGACAGCAGAAGCAGAATGTTCTTCATATTAGAGATGATTTTTCTGACCAGTATTGCAATTCTGGTTTAAGTGTGATTATTTTCTATAAACTAAACTCCAGGCCTTTTTTGCCATGAACACAAGCACATTTTTCAGGCTTGAGGCTTGAATACTGAATATAGTCTGCCAGACTACCAGTTTATGAGCTCTGCATTATTAGGTGAAATTTCCTTGCTTAAAACTTATCACAGCTTTGAATAATAATTTAAAACAGCAACTCTTGTGATTTAAAAAAATTCACTCTTTCAAATTACAATTTCGATATAAAAAGGATTACTCAATCAGCTCTACTTTACTTTAATAAACTGGTTATTGCTTTTCCACATCACTAATTTCTTATTTATTCTTGCAGTAAAAAGTCGCGAATGGATTGGAACACAGACTCTACCTCGCTCATCGGGGAGGAACTGCTGGTGGAGGTTTTAGACCATGTGCCTTTGACCACGCACAATTTTGTGAGTGCTGCAGAATACAGGAACAAGTACATAATTTTTGACTCTAAATTTAGTTCTTGGTCCTAAATATGCTCTCCGTGTTCATGTTTTAGGTTCGGAAAACATTTCTGAAGTTGGCTTTCTGTGACATATGCCAGAAGTTCCTTCTGAATGGCTTTCGTTGCCAGACATGTGGATATAAATTCCATGAGCACTGCAGCACAAAAGTTCCTACGATGTGTGTGGACTGGAGTAACATCAGGCAACTCCTGTGAGGCTCTGAATATTTGTTTTGTTATTTACACAAAGAATCAAGTCAAGTCAGCTTTATTGTCAGTACTCCAATATGTACAGGACATACAGAGTATTGAAATTGCGTTACTCTCAGACCCCATGGTGTAGCAATAACATTAAATAGACAGTAATGACCATATACTGAGACTCAAGTGTTGATTGTATTGTTTAAAATGTTGTGGTGAGGATTGGTTGATATAATCACACGCACACATGTATGTGTGTGTGTATAAATATATGTGTATATATTTATTGAATGTATGTATGAAACATAATCATGTCTGATATTAATGCACACTTAAATATTGTCTGATATTGTGATATAGTTAGAAAAAATACATCAAATTTGATCAGTATCACCCAGTACATTTTTGTAAAAAAGGCTACAACCAACACATCTGACTTCTAGTGTTAAAACCCTTCCTAGAATGCTTACTATCAGGAATTATGTAAGATATACCAGAAGTTGCAAACCTCGCAAGCACCGAAACTAGATTTCAAGAATAGTAAAAACTACAGGAATGAGTCACCAGAGTTCGGTTTAATGTGTTATGCACAGATGAGACAATGATAAACCACCACTAAAATGATGTGAAGGTTAAAATGTGGGGAAAGTTGTTTCATCCGTGGCAGATGACTAAAGATAAAACCATGACAATGAGTTCAGAAGAGAAGGAGCATCAGTTTCTGAGGGGAATTCTAGCTGCCTCAGGTTTGACAGATAAGAATTGCATGTTAACTTCTTAACTACTGATTTAGTGTTAATTTGAATATTATCAGATGTATTGTATAGTTTGGAGCTTGCTCTTATACAGTCAGCATGTTTATACTGTTAGAGATGAGTCCTGGAAGTTGTGCAGCACAACTGCAGGGTACTGTAAAAGCTGTAAGCATGTTAATTTTATTTCACAAGACATATTCAAAAAGCAGCACCAGTGAGAGGAGCTAAATCAGCACTTGGCTTATTACCTGAGTGAGAAGCAGAGCTAAATAAGGATAAATATAGGTGGTCTTTCTATCTCAGCACTACTGTTTTTGATTCATAGAATCAGCTTACAGTGCAAGTGTTTAAGAGGAGGCTCCCCAGTAAATAATAGGCCTGCTTATCCCTATTTAAAGTTTGATCAGTTCTTGGCACTTGTTTTCCTAGTTGAAATATATGATTCAGAACTTTTTTCTAAAAGTTATTCAAAATGCAGACAGTGTTTGGAAATATCATAAATTCAGCCCGGAATAACTCTTAAAATGCGTGGCTCTGTTTGATCAACAATTTTATCTGGACTGTGTTCATTCTGGCAGGTTGTTTCCAACCCCTGGTGAAAGTGGGGCTCCATCTCTGCCTCATATTACCTCAAGGAGAATGAGGGAATCTTTCTCCAGAATCCCCAGCAGGTAAAAACCCTTTTTTGAAAGCTCTTTGATGCAATCTTTAAATCTGCAGTAGCTGTTTAGGTGCTGACTAGATGTGTTAAACTATGCTAACAGACTGAGTGAACCCAGTGTTTCAGCAACTGTCAAGGCACAGTCATAATAATTTACTAGCTTTTTGGGGAAGACATGGCCATGTTCAGTTAGTTTTAACATGTTAATTTGTCTTATAATGTTAAGTTAAATGACCCCCCTTTGGGTAGGACACATTAAGTTCATGCTGTGAATGTTATTAACTAATGTTGGTGCAAATGAGAATGATAGAGTAAAATTATTTGGCTAAACCTGTGTTTATCCAGTCTTAAGTACTATTTGGACAGGATTCATTTTACACGGGGAGGTGGAGTAATGTAATTTTATCACAGGAAGTCTGTAACATTTATGACATGCACACGAGATAAGAAATCGCGGCAGAAGTTGTAGGGATGGGTGTAGCTACTTGAGCTATGCACTGCCTTCACTCCAAAAAGAGAGTTGAAAAAATGTTCATTTCACATTATTATTTTACATTGTTTTGTTTATTCTAACCATCTGCCTCACTGTCTTAAGTAAATGCAATGTGTCATTATCATTGTCATTAACTTGGGTATTTACAGTCAACATGGCTACATTAAGATAACATTTTTTTTCAGTCATTTTACATGTTATAATATTGGTCCTTGAGGGACCAATATGTAAATTTTATAATGTTTATGTATTAGTATTAGCATCAGCAGATATTTACATGAAAAGTATTGGATATTGGCATCAACCCACAATTTCTAAATGAGTGCATCACTAATATAGACTGTAGAATTTGGTGGAATATGTTTGTTGATGAAGTTTTGTATTTGGAAAATAGCTAGATAGCTTTATTTTAGCAAAAAAAGCAAATATCTTATAATTATAATGCAGTAAATTGCCACCTTCAGGTGAATCACAATGCATTGTTTTTTTTGTTTTTTGTTTTTTTTTTTTAAACATCACTGCTGATGAACATTTTATCATGTAACAAGTGTTCTGGGCAAAAAAGCATATGTTGTACTTGATGCTTGCTTTTTGGCATGACAGCCACTTATATTTCTTTTGTCTCCCCTTCAGCTCACTGCACAGACATTCGACCCCTCACGCTTTCAATCACACCACCGCGTATCCACCCTCGGGAGGTGCACTCTCGCAGAGGCAGCGGTCCACCTCCACGCCTAACGTGCACATGGTCAGCACTGCCCTGCCTGTTGACAGCAGCCTGATCGAGGTAACAACAGGACCTCTCTCCGCTTCTCGGGTTTTCTTAAAGACGCTCTTAAAATAGCAAGGAGTGCACGACCGATCCCAAGCATGCCTCTGCCATGATTTTTCCCCTTCACTTCTTCTCACTGTTGGAGCTTTTCTTTACTTCTGATAAGTAAACTTTCTTCTCTCGTTGTGTCTGATACTGTCCCTTTATTTTCAATTTTTTCTGCACGTCACTAGCTGGTGTAAAACGGTCAGCAGTCCTGGAGAACAGGGCTGCACAATGTGAACGAAATACTACTATTGCAGTTATTTTGCGACATATTGCTAGTGCGATATGCATTGCGATATATTACAAATGCACTGATGAACCAGTAATGTGGCATGGTTAAAGATTGACCTGCATTATTTTGACCAAGATAGTTTACTTTTGTTTGATTACCTTAATTTGTCCGAAGCCCAAATACTCATCTGTACAGTATAATTGGTCAGAATGTCCAGAGACCACAGTAAGTCATTCAGAGTGGTTTGATGTAAAATGATTGTGGAGTTATTTACTGACTTAACATGAATATAGCCACTTTATTTACTATCCAAGATTATTAGTGAGCCTACACATATCTTCTGAATCTTCATATGTAATGTTAAGTATCAAATAGTGGTAAATCAGATTTTTTTTATTTATTTATTTTATTTTCTTGGGGACAACTTAAAAAAAAATCTTACTTTTATCACCAATTTGAGGAATTGTGAAATGATATTTTTTCTCTAGAATGTCACAACAAACCACTCTGAATGACTGTTTACATCTTCTTGATGGAATTATGCATAACTTCTGGAAAAATGTGCAGTGCTGTGGTACTCCTAGATTGGCCTTGTCCACCAAGCCATGGCTAATGTTTTCAAAAGCAGGTTCATTTTTGATCTGGACACCAGTTAGTGCTCTGTCCACTTCTCTTTTCACCCTCACCCTCTCTCTATTTCCCTTTTTCTCTTTACTCTTGTCGTTGTGCCATGCTGGGGAGTAGCTAGATTGCCTGAATACTTCTCCTAGCTCCTGGTGCCGACGATTTTGTCTGAAGAGAAGAGTAGGTATTGTTTGCCTCTTCAACACCTCTAGTTTTAAATATGCAACAGTTCTTGATCTAGTCAGAGACCAGCAACCGCCCAGCAGCTGCTCTGTAAAAGCACAGCATGTTTTAGTATTTATTGTAAGCTTTCCTCAGAATGTAATGGAAAGTATGAACGAAGGGGTTGTTGGAATTTGTTAGTCATGTTTTGTTTTTGTTTTTTGTTTTGTTTTTTTCTTTAACCCTCCTTTTATTTTACTTCTTTTACATTTCCATATAGGATGCAATACGTCATGGTCACGGTCACGGCTCAGGTAAGGGGAGCACTATTGCATACGAAGCTTTAACAAATGATTTAATGTGTTACATTTATGCCTTTTGGCATGGAAACATACTCGTTCTAATTGTTTTCTCTTTTCTACAGCCGGTAGTTCCCCGAGCCAGAGTCCGACTGGCTGGACCCAGTCCAAAGCTCCAGCACCAGCTCAGAAGGAGAGGGCATCGTCCTTCAATTCTCAGGAGAAAAACAAAATCGTAAGCTCTCAAACAGGCTACTTCCTTTCCACCTAGAACCAGAGTAAATGTATTGAGAACACTTCCCCTTTTTCAAGCACATCCTGTGAAACATAGAAGAGAAGGAACACTTCTGATAGACCGTGATTAATTCTGAACCTGTAGCCCTCTGCTTATTTGAATCATTATCTCTGTGTGAGCTGGGGTACTAAATGAGCAGCCCCCTGCTGCATTATTTGTTTCCTTGTATCCTCAAAGACGAAGGTACTGGAGCTACTGGGAGTGTAAGAATAAACACATTTTCAGGTTCGATACAGTTTTCAGTTCTAAAGTCAGCATTTGATTCGATTTAAGATTTTATGTTTCGAGAGTGCTGATTCTACAGAGCTCTAGTTACATTCTGCACAAGTTGGGCAAAGTATGTCCTTGTGCAAAAAAAAAAATAAAATAAAATAAAAATTGAATACACCTAGATGCCTAGATTGGTAACTGACTATGGTTTTCAATAAAGAGAGCAAGTGAGAGACCCTTGTTTTGTATATATTGTATATTTCCAGGAACCTTGATTCTAATATAGTTTTGCTGTGTTGAAAATTGACTTATCTTGTTTATTTTGTCTTCTAGCGCCCAAGGGATAAGAGAGACTCCAGCTACTACTGGGAGATTGAAGCCAGTGAGGTTGTGCTGCACTCGAGAATCGGATCAGGTTCCTTTGGAACAGTATTCAAAGGGAAATGGCATGGTAAGCGCTTTTGTTGCTCCAGCAAGTACGGCCTCAGCACTTCTTTCATCACAGATTGTTCTCTGCTGCAATGTTGCACATGGACTTTGCAACACTTCAACTCTCTTCCTCTCTTTGGTGACTCGTAGGTGATGTGGCAGTAAAGATTTTAAAAGTTACAGATCCGACACCGGAGCAGTTCCAGGCCTTCCGCAATGAGGTGGCAGTTCTACGGTGAGCAGTGTTATTAAAGGAACATTTACTGTATTTCAGCATGAAGCTCCATTGTCTCAGGGCCTTCACTGAAACCCGCAGTCTGTTTTTCAGCTGCTCTAAAATGTGTTCTCTACAAATCAGAGACATCAAATTGAAGTGTTATATGATAATTATTGGCAATATTGAGTGCTTAAAGTGGTTTGGCCATAAAATCTAATCAGAACTTTCACCTTGCACTAGAATTTAGCAAACGTAATGGAAGCATATAGCCGCATGTTTATCACCATGCAGATTGCATGCCTAAACGGAGTGTGATTTGTTTGTGTGATTTATTTGGACATGCTGTGCCCCAGCAACTAAAACATTTTGACAAACATCAGACGGATGTTCGTGTTTGGCTTCATCACATATGATGCTGCATCCCCAAAAGCAGTTCAGAATAAGTTATGGGCATCTGAGCTGTGTGCAAAAGCAGAAGTTTTGACTCCTGAATGAGGTGATGAAGCTTTCCAAGCTTATTTCACTTTTTTGAAAAGTAGCCTCCCCAGTGGCACCGTTTGCCCGTTTCATGAGAAGCAGAGGATCTCTTTTTGCACCTGAAGACTGTCTATGCGGTTGTTTTTCTTTCTTTTGCAGTGAACAACATGGTGAAGTTAAAAAGTGAAAAAATATTTTGAATATTTCACATTTGCATCTTGTGTCAAAGAAAGCTGCTCTTTATACAACGTGGACTTGATTTTACTGTTTCCCTTGACAACTGAGATCATTTTATATTCGAATATTAATTAGAACTGTGTGCTACAATGTTTCTGTCAGTCTGTAGAAGATGCATGAGGCTTCCTTTCTTTATGGATGCCCGTGCTTTTGACTCATTCAGATGATAATTCCAATCAGCAAATGCTTATTATTATCATTATTAATTGTTTAAAGTACCAAAGAAGTGTGACTGATGTGTTTATTCCTATTCATGTGTTTTCAAGTAGTGTGTCAGACAAATGAAATAAAAATCTCAGGATTTTCAGCTTTATTAGATCACATTCTTTACGTATCAAGTAAGCACAAGGACTGCATTCAGAAATCATACTATTAATGGAAAAAAAAAATTAAATTGCAGAAACTGACATTTTTTTGCATGAGCCTTTAAACGTTAAGTGATCTCAAGTAGATTTGCGAATGTCATTTCTGACACAGACCTGCTGTTTTCATAAGAATAGAGGAAAACCGTTTTTAACACAGGTTTTTAATGCTATGTTGGTGTGCACCATGCTAAATTGTCACTACTAAATAATTTGGACCCTGCTTGTGGTTGATGGCTGCGATTTTGATTCCTCTGGCCCTCTGTCTGACCACAGGAAAACCAGACATGTCAACATCCTGTTGTTCATGGGCTACATGACAAAAGATAACCTCGCTATTGTGACGCAGTGGTGCGAGGGCAGCAGTCTGTACAAACACCTCCACGTGCTGGAGACCAACTTCCAGATGTTCCAGCTGATTGACATCGCCAGACAGAACGCTCAGGGCATGGAGTGAGTTCAATTAGGACATAAACATCAGTGTTGATTGAAGTTCGGAAAATGTCCCATTTGCTTTTGATATTTTAATATCTCATCTGTTGTGAATTGACAATGTAACGTAGATTGTTATCTCTTCTTTTTAGCTACTTACATGCAAAGAACATCATCCACCGGGACATGAAGTCAAACAGTATCCTTCTTATGAGAACATATGCTTTCTTTTATGGATTTAAGGCAGCTTTACATAAGTGCCATATTTTCTTCACTATTGAATTTAGTGATGTTGAGGATGAATCTTAAGGGATTAAAGGGCCCCTGTTCTGTGTTTTTTGTTTTTTCCCTCAATTTCCATTCATCCACCAGTCATGATTCATTTTATGTGAAGATTTTCCAATCTCTCTTTATCCCTTGCAATTAAAAAGGCTAATTTCATGTGAATGGGCAGAGCAAAACTGTTGTAGGCTGAGTACAGGTGGATATATGTTAATGTGTTTGTTTTTGTGACATCACAAAACAGTGAATTCCTAACGGGCTGATGATATGAGAGGTTGTAGCCATGATATGAGAGGTTATAGCAAAATAAAAATTATTATACTGTAGTCATTCCATAAGGGTAACACTAATATTTATAACTGTTTAACTCTTGTTTCTTGTTTCTAAGGGTGGGCCTACACTACACAATTTTTTGCCCGTTTTAACTCCAAAACGCCCCTTGCGACAAATTTTCACAATCTGTTAGTGTGAGAGGAGAAAAGAGTAAATCTTTAGCCCTCCGCTCAAACTCTGAAGTGATCAGAGACCCTCCGATACTGTCAAACTTGTTTGATATTTACAACTCAAAATGTTTACAAGTCCTGTAGTGTGTGAAGGTCAGAGATTTACTCAAGTTATTCATGCAAAAGCCAATCAGTGAGCTAGAAGAGCAAAAAAAGCAAAGAGATGTGCATGCACACCGCCTAAACAGAGGAGCTGCGTGTAAAACACTGGCAAATAAGAGCGGTTATCATGTTTATAATTTGTGGATCCAGATGTCAAAGCACTCTCTTTACAATTTCAGCTCAGCTGCTAGTTTGTAGTGGAATATTTCTCCAGCTCTCATTGTATCAGTGCTTCAAACTGACAAACTGAAGTTAAGTTTGTGATGCTCTCTGTTTTAGAAATCTGTGAAGATTTTACAAGTTGTGTAGTGCCCAGTGTAAAGCAGCCCAGAATTCACAAACACAGTGGAGGTTGTCACGTATGTGTCATATGCTAAGCTTTTCAAACCTGTACACCTTTAACTCAAACACAGACATCTTCTTGCATGAAGGCTTGACCGTGAAGATTGGAGATTTTGGCCTAGCCACAGTGAAGGCCAGGTGGAGTGGCTCTCATCAAGTGGAACAGCCTTCAGGATCCATATTATGGATGGTCAGTTGCTGACGAAAACAGGACTAAAATATTTGAGATCACCTGTAGATGCTGGAATATACACACATTTACCGTCATGCACAATTTAGTGGGCAAATGCATATACATCTTTCTTTTGGAATGATCTGACATTAACTTTAACCTTTGATCTTAACCTTTCTAGTGAAACTGTCAAATGTGTTTCTGTAGAATATGATAACGGCTAGAACTTCTGCAACATGAATGTGGTTCTTGAGGCTTTTTTGCTCAGCTTGTTGTGTTTGTCAAATTGAACTACATCCCTTACCTGGCAATAATACATTGTTTGTGCTCATTGTTTCAGGCTCCTGAGGTGATCCGAATGCAAGACAACAACCCATACAGTTTCCAATCAGATGTCTACTCTTACGGCATTGTTTTGTATGAACTGATGACTGGAGAGCTTCCATATTCACAAATAGCTAACAGAGATCAGGTATGTCCCTGTGTGCACACCAAATTAGATTCATTTAAATCATTACAACCAGTGACCACTAGTGTGTATATGGCCGTGACCTCACTCCTGCCTTAAGGCTTACAATAAAGAGTGGTTGGCATTTTTCCATCTGTCAAAGGGCATTTATGTTGGAAAACTGAATTTTATGAATTTTTTTTAGAGTTTAATGTCGTCTGTAAACAGCGTTAAACATACTGTTTCCTCCCCAGTCCATATGATCCCTATGCAGACTAAGTTGAAAAAACAGCCTCATTTGAATTCACTGCTTTTGTGGTGTAATACAAACCATCATGTTCATTGTACCTTTTAAGCCTGTAGCAGTTCAGCTCCACCCATTCACACTGAAGTTACAGAGTGTGTTTAAACCCAGACTCTAATTGGATTAGGCACAATACATGGCAGCTAATCAGAACAGAGATTATATCATATAGCAGTCTTAACGGCACAGTAAGAAAAAAGCCTGGTTAATTCTAAGGGAGAAAGAAAGGTTGGAAAATGCCATGTATAATGCATTATGACTGTTTGTTTTTGGTACATAAAACCACACAAACATTATAAGTGGACCTCAGGGGATAAAATAAAACTCTTACGTTTAATATATTTGTAAATATGTTTTAAATACAAAATTCAACACTTCTAATGTATTCAAAACAAATGCAGTGCTGGTATTACAATATTGGATGCTCATAGGTACTCGAATATCAGAATTAGTCAGAATGCACATCTCTAAATTGTCTTGTTTGCTCAGTGTATCTGTAGAGAGCAGTTACCATATTGTCCCTTGAGAATAAACAATATCAGTGGATTCCTAATTTAAAACGCTATGGAACATTTAAAACCATAGACTACATAAAAGTATGTAATTAAATGCTATTCAATAGCTGTCTTTTTACAGTTTAAGAATAGCTATGCCTCCATTTGTGGTTTAAGAGGAAAGAAAATTAAGTCAGTGGTTCATTTATTATTTTGTGTGTCAGAGGGAGAGAGAGACGGACATCTCTCCTGGCATGGCCTCAGGCTTGCTCTCTGACTGGCCCAGTCACTGTGGAGCCTCAAGACTAAATTTAGCCTGAAATCCAACCTGGTCTCCAAAGTCCCCACACCACGAGACAGACTCGCTCCGCAGCGCCTGCCCCGCTTGTTTGTTTGTTGTGTCGGCATGTAGCCTCACTCTATTCCCTTTGGCCTGCTCTGGCCTGCAGCCCACAACTGCATTCTTAGTAAAGACTGTGCTGGGTCTGGATACTGTGGCTTCCAAATCAAGTGTCTAAAAATGCCTTAAGACACTATTAGTGTTATTCGTATTACTACTAGAAATTCTTTTAGGACCATATTAAAAATCAGCCTGTCAGTCTAATAGCCTAAGAATTATATTTGGCCAAAAAAAATGGGCAATATTTGTTGAATATTAATTTAATCAGTTATAATATGATGCAAATTAATCGCTACCTTTTGAATTAACCTTTAAATGGATGATGCTTGAAATGATCAGCATGCCTGTTTTTACGCCCCAGTCATTATGTTTCTCAAACTGTGTTTAATACATTGTCTTTGTGCTGAAAATCTTCTAACCTTGAATGCAAGTGTTCTTCTTGTTTGCAGTCAAACATCTTTAAAAAGGAACATATACAACGCATTGTTTAAAGTACCATTCACCCTGTCCTCTCTCACTCTTTTCGCCTTTTCTTCTCTCTGTTTGTAGATCATCTTTATGGTCGGCAGAGGTTATCTGTCCCCTGATCTCAGTAAGCTGTATAAGAGTTGCCCCAAAGCCATGAAGCGGCTAGTCGCAGACTGCATTAAAAAGTCCAAGGAGGAGAGGCCTCTGTTTCCACAGGTACGTGTTAAAGTTATCTTACTTTCAGATCCTTACAGCTTGAATTAGGTGCACATCATAATATTATGTGGTTGAACTTTTAAATAAAGGTCATAAGGCATTGCACCATCCTTTGCTGTCTGTATAGTTCTCTGCTTGATATCAGCTGTTTGTATCATGCAGTTTTTCATTTCTACTGTTGAGCAAACAGCATTGTATAAGATTGCAGTTGATCTTTATAGATTCTAGTCTATACAGTACGAATCACTGTTCAAAATTCTGTATACCATGACGCTGACTTTCTGTAGGTTTTAAAGAAAGTGTAGGAAGATGAATAGGTTTACAGTGAACGGAGCTGTAGATGACTAGTATAGGATAAAGCTGTATAGGATCAAGAGTTGTTCTACCCAAAATGCTTCAGATTGAGAATAAACCTTTGGGTTGTTTTGGTGTCTGGCTGATATATTTGAATGGTAGTGTACATTCTAATTAATTTCAGTGTTACTAGGCCTGGGCGATAATAATTACCAAATAAGTATCTGAACATTTTTAATTATCCTCTTAAAATTTTATTACTTATTGTTATAAACTAAGAATAGCTCTATTAGGTTGCATTTAAGTCCCTGTAGTTACTGAATAATAAGCCTTTGTACAAAATAAACCTGGATTATTAAGGGGTTTATTTTGAGTATTTTTAATACAATGATTATACAGTTTTGTTCCTCAGTCTGGTTTTTGCAGCAAAGGCTTGAACTTTAAGCAGTTGCGAATAGCAAGACGTCTCTGCTATTCACAGGTAACTACAGCTCAAAATAATTGTCTGAACCTGATAGGACTGCTCACAACTGAGCACAGTTTGGTTTGGTTTGGACGGGTTTAAATTTAATTCCCGAATATGTGTCTGGTTCAGGTCAGGTTAACATTTCATGTTCAGCTTTTCACAGCCCGCCTCCTACTTTGAAGAGTTTTAAACATTCTACGTGCAAAAATAGAGTTTTAGTATTAAACAGGTGAAGCCTAAAATCAGAGAACAGCACAACATAGAAAGACTTAATGTTTTAGATGCTGTTCAAAAGTATTACTTGACAAATCGGTTTGTTAAAGCAGACTTGATTTTGGTCAGCATATTGTTATAGCATATCACTTTAAATTGCTTTTTTTTTATAACAGCTGTTATCAGTACATACTAACTGGCACTGTCCTGACAGGTTTTATTCTGCACTTTGAATGATGATGGGCCAATTTGGGTCAGATTTGGACAGAATTGGTTCGGATTGGGTTCAAAAATGATTTTCTGGGGGAGTCAGGTTCAGACTCGAAACAGGATGCTGCATATCAGCCTCAGACAGAAAATTCCTGGACTGAATTCAGGTTCTGACCAAAATTTCTGGCCCAATTAAAAATCTAATTTGCTTTCTTCAGGGTTCAAACTACTATAGAACTTAAAATTTAGTGTTATGCATGTAGTATTATGCATACAGTAAATATTGATTGAATATGAAAAAGTAGGAAGGATTTAAACTTCTGTTAGTCTTAACAGTTTTATTTGCCTGACCTAATTCTGATCTGTATCCCCCTTGTTCTCTATCTATCTTTTGCCTCTGTAGATCCTGTCCTCCATCGAGCTGCTGCAGCACTCCCTCCCCAAAATCAACCGCAGCGCCTCGGAGCCGTCTCTGCACAGAGCTGCACAGCCTGAGGACATCAACTCCTGCACTTTGACCTCCATGAAGCTGCCTGTTTTCTGAAGCAACAATCCATGCCAAATGCTCACCGGCCAGCGAGCCACTGCCGCCCGATCTAGCAGGACGAAACAAAGGCGTCCCGGAGCTGAAGGGAACTCACTTTGGGTTTCAGATGTTTCTGGAAGTTTCGCTGAACCTGCTACTCTGCTCTGATGGCAAAGTCTGCCTAACTTAACTATCTAAATCTCTCAACTGAAAGCAGAGACCCATAGAAGGATGGAGTATATAGATTTTTTAGCCAGTTTATGGACGAATGCACTTGTCAAGAGAGAGTGTGGGTTTGTATATGTACTCCCTTAATTATTCATGTTTCTGAAACAGATCTCATCATTGCTGTGAGATCTAATTCATGCACAAAATTATTTTAGATTTGTATGTTTGAAAACTCCCCAAATGAATAGATGTATTAATTGCGACACTTTCAAGCATGTAAACATGTAGGCGGACAAAACTGTTCGATTTTAAACGCAGAAACAATAAAAGTTACCGCTGAGAACTGGATTTTGTGATCCCACCACAAGTAGCCTGTAATAGTTCTGCTGTTTGGCTGCAAAACAACAGAATTTTGATGGTTACCTTCACAAATTACAGTAGAAAATATTTTCCATAGCTTGTCGCCACACTTTGCTGTGCTGGTTATGTTACAGTCTGCAGAATACCTTTGTGTGGCTCTGTGAGAGTGAACGAGATTGTGGTCCTGGTTAGCAAAGCACAGAAGTGGAAGACTTTGCGAGGATCGCCACTGTACAAAACAATTTGCAGTCTTTCTCAATCGCCGTGCCTTTTGCGTGTGGAGTTTTGTAACCATTCAATCAGTTTTCATAGACGTTTATAATGCCTTGTTTGGAGAAATGTATGGACGGTTCATGTTCATGTGGTCAGTGTTCAGCTGCCGTTTAATGGTGTTGAATAGTAAAGTAGGGCTCAACATTGTATAATGATTGAGTTTTTAGTGATTGTCAACTGTTTCATTTGAAGGTTTTGTTGCAGACTCTTGAGTACATACTGTTTATCATTAATGGTTATTTTAATAAAATTAAGTTAAATGCCAAATTCCTGCCTATAGTTGGTCAAATTATCATTTTCTGTAAAGTACCTGTCAGATTCACATCAAGCACCCAGATGTGGAAAATGTTTATTAGATAGTATCAGGGCAGAAGAAAATACTTGTTTTTAAAGTCATCCTGAACTCCAAATTGACTTTTCTTAAAACCCTGTTAGTTCATGCCCCTTGTCAAATTAAAGGGGAACAGAATTAATAATTTAATGGTTTAGATGGAAACGAAATAATTCAGAGCAGTTTGGTGTGAAAATGCACTTTTCTAAAGAAATTTACTGAGTCAAACTTGTTCACCATTGTAGTACTAGGAACCAGACGTCATGTCTACACTACACTACGTCATGTCTAATATTACCATTTTATCTGCTATCCAAAATGACCAGTGAACTTACATGTCATAAGTTTTTATATAAAACGCTGAAAATGGTAAAATAGCGCTAATTTGGGGAAATAAAACGTTTTCTTTGGGTACTATTTTTTTCCTTACAACGCCCTGCATGTACCTCTCCGCCCCGCACGCGTTTTAGAGAAGAGTCTGACTGCAGAGCCGCAGATTTACACACCCGCAGTTTCACTCCAGCAGAAACAGGATTCAAGGTAATATTCGTGAGTGCAATAAAATAGTTGTCGTTAGCTGTTAGCTTATAACACACCGTCTAGAGTAGGCCATGCAATAAATGAATGAATAAATAAATACCTCGCTAATCTACCCCATAAACTGGTAAGCAGAATAGCAAGTAGTTCGTTGTTGACACCAGTTTTCATTCTGCTTTGGCGCGGGTTCAGTCTCTCCCTCTCTCCCTTTTGGCTCCGTCTTCTTTAAACCGCTGCAACTCCTTTGTGTATTCTGGTTTGGTATGAATCTACGACATTTTGGAAACAGACCCATCTTCGCCATCTCCCAAAACAGGTAAGAAAACCGTAAAAACAAACTGTAAACAAAAGCCGGCGTTGGCCGTGTTGATCGGCGGTAGCTACAAGATAATAACAACAAAAGCACGTTAGCTTGCGCGCATTGATCTCAGTTAAAAATGCGGTTTTGAGAGGAAACACGGAAGTGATCCTGGAGTAATAGTTTATACTAAAAATACGTTCTAGGCCAAACCTTTATAACAAAACTATCACAAAACAACGTATCAGATATCAAGCAACGCATTCATAACTATTTTGTATAATAACTTAATGGAATGTAGCTTTTAGAGGCATTAAGTGCTTTGGACATCTGGTTGCTTGTATGGTGAACCGTTCAGTGGAGTTCCCCTTTAGGCGCGATTCATCATATAATTTAAAGGACTAAATTCTTGCTTCCTGCAGTCTTCCGTCAAAATGTAATGGTATTTGCTCCACCTCTAAAGTATCTTATGGGTTTTGATGACGTCACCAGGGCCTGTTTATGAGGAGCCTGCACTTCCTACCGCCCCCCTATCAAAAACAGGACTGCTAAACAGCAGAGGGCGCCCGCGAGCGAGTCCTCAATAAATGGGAGAAAATGGAGCTCAAGAGGAAAAGTAGTTTCTAATCACTCACCCAGAGCTTTCCTTTAATTTCAGAAAGTAGACGGATTTATTTCACTAAAAAGTCAAATACCTATATATTTCCTTTTTTTCTACTGCAAACGGGTTTTGGGCAGCAGAACACTGGCATTACTACAGAGTGCTGATTGGTTGACGAGCGGAGCAGCTCATTGGCTGTTCACGTTCACTGATGTCATGAACATACATGAGGCGCCGTTTTGAACTTCTGTAACTCGAGTTTAAAACTTTAAAAATATAACAGCGGTGTTCATGTTTTATGCTATTCAGTGTTCAGGAAATCAATGTATTATTTTATCTTTAAAATGTTTAATCATTTAGAAACTATGATTTTGCTCAAATGCTCCATCTTAACCCATTCATTTGGACTCGCTCTTGAACGCCCTCTAGTGTTTGAGAGACCTGGAAGAAATTACAGAGTGGTAATTCTCCTCTCTGCAAGTTCTCTGACGTCACCCTACACCTGCGGGTGGGGCAAAATAATTAACCACTTATCGCTTATCATCAGCTGGCTCAGAGACCCACCCTGATACCATTTTTCAATTACAGTTTATTGTTTAAAAACATTTGTTAATTTTTTTTTATTATTCCCAAACTGCTTCAGTCTGTGAGTAAACTATCGGTTTGTTTTGGTGTCTATCTTACAACATTTCAGTCTATACTGTACACATTATTACTGATTATTAATATGACAAGTGAATCCAAAGTTTTGTGAATCCAGAACTTTTTCTTTTCAATTAATATTAAGTATTTTTAATAAAACTATTACATCGTTTTGTTCCTCAGTCAAGTTTTAGCAACAGCATTTTTGCCCTTCAGCTTCTGTTTTGGGGGGCATCCACCATTTTTCAAAACTTCTGCATAATTCAAATGTTGAAATGTAAACAAAGTCATTCAGAATGACGCAAAATGCTTCATTGTAGAGAATCTTGCTGATGTTCTTTACAGTGGTGGTGATAGGAACCAGGGGTCACAATGTCTGCAATGCTAATATAGCCATGTTATTTACTACCTAAGACCACCAGTGAACCTACAAATCTGAAAAACAATTTTTTTGAGTACTGTTTAGACTTGCACTGCATGTACCCCTCTGCCATGATTTATTAAAAAAATATAAATATAAATCTTCTCAAAGATATCCCAACTATTTCAGATAATAATTTTGTGATTGCACTTTTTTAAAGAGTAGAACATTTTCACATCAAACCACTCTTTGTTTACATCTTCACTGAGCTATACTTTTAAAAATTTGTAGAATCCCATTTAGAAGGCAAGTTAAAAATGGTTTCTGAGGCTGAATGCCTGGCACGCTCTTGTGCATGAATGGTGAAAATAATGAGCTTGGAGCTTGTTAATTTAGTTGGACTTTTGATGTCAGAACTACACTTAAGCAAAAACGTTCTCTGAAAGCCAACTGAGGCAGTTTGGTAACTCCAGTTATTCTACATCTCACACATGTGCAACAGTTTGACCGTGCATGTCATGTTTGCTGTGGCAGGGTGGTGCAACTTGCTGGTCAGTCTCAGCTGAACTGCACAGCTGTAGAGCTCCGAAACTGAGATAATCAGGGAGCACGTTCTTTAAAATGGCCAGAGTGTGTTTTCATAATCCTTGCTGCGTTTTTGATCAGAGGTTTCTGCTGAAGATAATTTGGTCCCAAATCAGCAAAATCAGAGGTGCACAGACGAAACCTGACTAACACACTGTAGTCATCTATAGTTTGCCTGCACTGTAGTATTTAGCTGCAGTTTAATTACTGCCAGCTGAGAAAACTAGATACAGTCATGTAGTAGTACCACCCTGCTGAAAAAACATAGAAACCATGAAGTGTTTCTGTAGGTTCCTAATAGTTTTGTAAGGTGTCTTGGCTTTTTTAATGGGTTGATATCACAATGAGTGCGTTTACATGCACTCAGTAGTCTGATCATATTTGCATCATGGGCTAGAGGTTAGGGAAACAGCCCCGTGACCGGAAGGTCGCTAGTTCGATCCCCTGAGCTGACAGTACGTGACTGAAGAGCCCTTGAGCAAGGCACCTAACCCCCAACTGCTCCCCGAGCACCATGGATAGGGCTGCCCACCACTCAGGGCAAGTGTGCTCACTGCCCCTAGCATGTGTGCTTTCACTAGTGTGTGTGTGGGTGTTTCACTGCACGGATGGGTTAAATGCGGAGGTGAAATTTCCCTGTTGTGGGACTAATAAGGGTCACTTAGTCACTTAGTAATTTCTGCAGTTATCTGATTATTCAAATGGTCATGTAAACAGCACACTCTGATTTCTTAGATCGGAGTAAAGTCTAGAAATCTGGTGAAGAAATCTGATAAAGAGAGCTGGATTTTAGCTCAGTAATCAGATTTCTCAGTGCATGTAAACTCTTACTCTAATTTCTTTCGGATTTCTCTGTCTGTGCATGTGCAAAAACAGACTGCGGTACCGGACTGGGGGTGTCAAAATCTCAGTATACAACTGTATTCATAGCTGGTTTACTGTCAAAGTTGATTGTTCTGTCATATTTTATCTTTCTGTGTTCTCATAACGTATGGGAATAGGTAGTTCTGCAGTTTCTTGAATTATTTTTTCCAAAAGGAAAACGTAGCTTTGTCCTACAGCAGTATACCCATGTGGAAAAAGTATATGGACATACTTTGGTATATGAAATATACTTCAAATACATTGCAGTCCATGCTGAGGTACATTCCAAACACTACAAAATGTATATCTGTATATATTACCATATTAACCAAATACATTTTAAAAAACATTTATTTTAAACGCGTGGGTAAATATTACACATATACCATATAAAAATAAATGTATGTAAATATACATACAAATATATTTGAAAATGTATGAAAACACCCACAACACTTGTGTAATGCACTTTATTGTTTGGATACCTTTTGAAATGTGTTTGTATTCCACTATCTTAATTTTAAATATTAGCAAATGAACCTTTAACATGACAAAAGCAAGTGTTGTAGGTATTGATACATTGTGAAAAAAGCAGTTATGGTTGATAGCTTGTTCATAGTTCATGTATATTTGGTCATATCTGTAACCTTTGTTAAAACTACGTACAACAGAAAAATAACAAATACAAATTAATACACTTTAAATGTATTTAACAAGTACATTTTTTGCCATTTTCATACATTCCAAAGTATGTTTAATAAATACATTGGGAATATATTTTTTTCCTTATGGGTACAATTGAACACAGATGCGAGTACCAAAATTGCGAAGTACTCAAAGTTCTTTTTTGTACTAATTTCTATTCATTTTTTACTGCAGTTGCATCATTCATGCAGTAATGGGGTTAACAGCTAAATAAACCAGCATTCAGCTTGTGGGATGATTTTTCCAAACAACTGTTTAGGCCTCTGTTAAACTCAGCAGCTCTGAGTGGAGAAAAAATCCTCAGTTTTCCTCGCTGTCATCAAAAAATCCAAGTCTGAAAGTTACATAACTGGATGGAAATGGTGGGTAGCATCTATTCCTACACCTCACTGTTTAGGCATATGCTGACTCCTGGTTTTCCATTTTAACCACATCTGTCTGTTTCTGTGACTCCTGAGAATTCAACTTTATAAAACGATTTCCCAAAATCATCACAGTAAATGAGTTTCACTGTGAAAGCTTGCTTTAATAGTTGATCTTAATGGGGAACTCCACCAATTTTTCAAAAATTCTGAATAATTCAGTCCTTGAGATGTAAACAGAGTCGTTCATTGTGTTTTGGTGTGAAATGACCATGGATCACTATGTCCGCAACACAAATATAGCAATTTTATTTATTATCCAAAACCACCAGTGAACCTACACGTGTCTTCTGAGTTTATGTGTGTAATGTTGATGATGGTAAAATTATGGAAAATCTGTAGAACGTAGAATATTTTTCCCTTTAACACTAAACAGCTTGTAGGGAAGCTTCCTATTTAGTCAACTCTAGATAAAAAACTAATAATTATCATTACAGAGTCTGAGAACCTATAAAAGTTTGGGTTATTTCTACATAATAAAACATTTTTGCAAATAAATCTCTGTAAATGCATCTTCTAAGTCAGTCAAGGAGGCAAATTCTGTAATATGACTATAAATGATCATTGCTTGTTTCCTGTGTAGACATTCAGTCCACAGCTTTAAACAGAGGTCACTGTTCATTAATGGAGATGGACAGGCAGGAAAAAAAAAGAAGAAATAGGGCGCCCCCTTGTGGAAGTCATTGACTTCTGCATTGCTGGATTACTGCCAGTCTGCACAGCCAGTTAATGAAAAGTTGAAGTTTTCACTTCCTTCACAATGTATTCTCAGCTGTTTTCTGTTATATGCATGTATATGAATATAAAAAATTGATTGTATTTTATTTCTTACAGATTAGAACTGCTGCAGCTGAAAACACTGGTCTGGATTCATTCCATATTTGCTGATATGGTTTTGATATCCAGGACAAAAACAAGATAATCTGCCTGTTTTTTAAAATGATTTATCAGGTTTTAGCCTCATATGTTTAGAATTAAATTGCTTGTTATAGTAAACCTATTTGTAAATACAGTGATGTCCAAAAAAACACCACAATGAAAGAAATAATGAAGATCTGGCTCTATTTCTGAGTCACTTTAATTTAAAATCAGCGAAATTTAACCAAAATATATTCGTAGTGCTGTATTCCAAATTGTTTTTGGTCTTATCTGTTCCACTGCAGCTCATGTTCAGACGACTCTCAGGTGGATTTGATCTGCTCATCAGAAGCTTTTTCACAAAGTCCATTTGGAAAATATGGCCATGTATTTGTAATATGCACTGTAAATGTATTGTTTTATTCCAGAATGTATTTCAGTCACTAAAATACATTAAGTAAAAATATATTTGTGGCCATTTTCATACATTTTCAAATGTATTTGATAAATGTACTCAGTGGGGTTGAGCTTGAGTGCTTGCTCTCATTAAAGCAAAAGAGGGACATACCATCAAATACTAAAATTACTAAAACTTCATATATTCTACTTTTCACTCAACGTGTTATTCTGATAAAACAATTTGTAATTAAAAATGTTCTATTAAAGGGCCCATATCCTACATTTTTCTTGTATTTTGATGTTTCTCTAATGGTTTTGTGTGGCTTTATGCAGCAAAGCTTCAGTGAAAATAGGTGGTGCCAACCTGCTGTAGGCTGATGTGGTGGATACATGTGTATTTTCATTTTCCTGGTTTTGTGAGGTTATTAAATTGCTTGCTGTACAGAAAATAAGGAACGTTTTTATCCACATATTAACAGCTTATCATTACTGGTGGCAGTAGTTGGTAGATTTTTGTTGGTAAAATTCTTTCTTCTCCTGTTCACATGTTTGTGGAAGCTTAGGCTGCATCACATCGCTAGCAAAAAGGACAAAAGCTCCTCCTTTCATCCTCAGATAGACTCTCTAGTAAAGATCCTTCATGATCTCTTTAAAGAGCGGGTGAAGGCACATGTCCAGCTCAGTCTTCTTCAGCAGGTGAATGATGCGGACATGTTCGGCCACCAGGGGCCGGAGGTCTGTCATCTTCTGCAGCAGTTTGGCGAAGAGATGGGGTGATTCAGGGTGAAGAGTTTTCAGCTGGAGCTCCAGAGCCTGCAGAACCTCATCCTGCAGCTCCTCGATAGCTTTTGCATTCACCAAACCGGGTCTATCTACAAATTAGGCATAAAAGAGTGGAGTATGAGCTGGTTTCAGGGCTGTGGAACGTGGAATGCTAGAATTAATCCTAATAAGTGATGGAATGGGGGCCAGCTGGCATTATCAGAAAGAAATTCTGCTGTTGGGACCTTATGAGCATTGAATAAACCTTACGCAAGAGTTACATAATCTTGTGCATGTTCCCATCCCCCACCCCCACACACACTGTGTACAGCATATCATTATGAAGAGTATTCAAAATATACAGTACTGTGCAAATGTCAGAGACCACCTTTCATATATTTAAGTCAAAACAGCCATTAAGAACAAGCTATTCATTTTTCAGCAGGTATTTCTGATAAGATCAGATGTATGATAATCCATGTGCATTAGGAAGGAAAATAAGTGAATAAACAGGGAAACTTTTCAAAAAGGGTCCATATTGTGGAAAATAGTTTTTTTTTTAATTAAAACATTTGATGTAGTATGCATCAATGTAGCAAACTGTAAAATGAAAAGAAGAAAATATCTGCCTATAGACCACTGTAGTCATGTCGTCATTCTGTAGTCGGCGCCATGTTCTTATGCCCATATTAGGAACTCCGGGTCTAAGCTTCATTTCTCTATGGGCAGAATGAACAGGATTTTCGAAAAATTGCCTCTATCGCACCCTGTGTTAAATGAAAATCTTCAGAACCCGATACGTTTTGTCCTGTGAACATTCTTCTCTCGAATAACACTGGATCCTCTGAATTATGAAATCGTTACAGAGTTGAAATATGAATATTACTACATGTAAACTAAAGCTACTGCGTACTGAATTCACGTCACTAGACTGCCTAAAAGCCTCATCTGTGAAATAAAGCTTACACGCTTAAACTCGCGCCTTGAATCCGGAGAGAGTGAAGTGTCAGAGCTGCAGCTCATCACAGTTCAGTTCTCTAAGTGAAACTCCTGATTCCCAGAAAAAAACACGTAATTTACGCACGTAATCATAACAGAGCAGCAGCAGGAGGAGGAGGAGGAGAAGGACCTTCAGCTCCACTCAGTAACGCATCTCTCTGGATTCAGGTCTTAAGGACCTCCCAGACACAGAGAACAGTAGAGGTTCTAAATGAGCTTCAGAACTTTCCAGAAAGAAGATGATCAAAGGAATAAAATCATTCCTGAAACATTCCTGATTAAAGGGCTTTAAAAACCAAACCTACTAAAGAAATACAGCAGAAAGAGCTACAAAGACTAAAGGTACCAAAGTAGACTCTGAAAAGGAGGATCCGCCATAGAAGACCTTCCTCATAGAACTGATTTAGACAGGATGGAAAGCAGTTTAAGGTTCTACGTCTGTGTGGAGGTTCTTTAAATGTCTTCACACAGAAAAAAAAACATTCTCTAAACTTTAGGGAACCAAATGTGATTCTTCAACAGAATCGCACAGAGAAGCTTTCTGACACCTTTATTTTACTTCAGGTAACAGAAAATAAATAGAAATAAAAATTATTATTCAGCTGTGTAGATAGACAGACAGATAGACAGATAGATAGATAGATAGATAGATAGTCAGACAGACAGACATATAGATAGCCAGCCAGATAGATAGACAGACAGACAGAGACAGACAGACAGACATAGACAGACAGACAAAGATAAACAGACAGATAGCCAGACAGAGACAGACAGACATACATAGACGGACAGAGACAGACAGACAGATAGATAGCCAGACAGAGAGAGACAGACAGACAGACAGCTCCACATCCTTGATAAAGTGATAAAACAGGCCTCTACTCTTTTGTATCTTACTCTTATGTGTACAGCACTTTGCCAATGAAATAAATACATATTAAAAAGTTGAAATATTAAAATATTTAAAAATATTCATTTTTCAGTTCATTTTGAGGACAGTTTCTAGATAAAAGCTCAAATTCACTATAAATAAAGTCCTAGATGAAGCTACAAATATTTGACAGTAGTCTTCGAGTGTGGCCACAAAGCCAAAATAGATAAAATGAGTTTCTGGCTGAAAACACAAAAAGTACAGGCTGTAACAGTGGACACCTTAAATCACTTCCCATGAGGTGTAAACAGACATTGCACCCTTTTCACAAACAGCTTACTTCTGGTTTAAAGCATTAACAGGGTAAAACTCACTCACGCTCCATGAGGCACTGGCAAAACAGCCATTTCCTGCACTGTTGTGACAAATAGTGAGAATAAGTGGATGGAGGTGCTGATTTAACTTTAAACACAGCTACAATGCTGTATGTGTGCTGTAGCCCTGGTGGGCACCTGCAAGAGAGTCACATGGCTAAAAACAATACATTACGGAAAGTTAGATGGAGGAAGCATGTACAAAGAGAAAAGCAAAGGCCCTAAAACTGAACCCTGCGGGACTCCACAAGAAATGTTAAATTTTTTTAAAGAATGATTTCCCAGTAACACCATGAACTTTATACTAACTAAATATGATTTTAACCTTTATAAAACTGTGCCTGAGAGGTGGAACTGTATTCAAGTCCAAAACAGAAGGATTGAGGTATTCTGAAGGACTCTTATTGTGAAAACGGGGCTAACCTGCAAGTTGTGTTTATGTGTAGTCAGAGGCCCTCCTCCAGAGGGAGACAATAATCATTGGTCTAAAAGGTACAACAGTGTGCGACTCTGAGTGAGTCAATGAAACGGAGGAAATGCCCGAGTACCTGAACAAACTGCAGATCATAATAGAGTAAATTGCCTGTTCTGTCGTTCATCATCATGTTATCTATTGCATGTCCATTTTTAAATGGTTTCATAAGAGGAGTAATAGCAAGTTGGAGTTGCGACAGTTAGGGTTCATTTACAGCACTGTGCCAAAGGGAGACGGCCTGACCAACAAAAGATTAAATAATGTGGAACAGTATGTGATGACTGACTGGTCCATACTTGTACACTCGTTTTAGATGGTAAAATAACTGAAGATGGTTTACTTTATGTTGTTTTTCAGATATCAGCCCATCAGCAACACTGCGGTGAATTAGAAGCTTCAGCCTCGCACTTATTAGCTAAGTAATTTGCTAAGTCTAAGCTAACATTAGCTCTGCTGACTGACTAAACTGAGTAAACGAGGCTAAAGTCAGCTTACTTGAATTTCCCCGTTCCACCTTAAATAGTACAACAGTTACAGTCCGGCACATCAGTTTGCCTCAGTCACCAGAATGTAACTGCTGCACAATTTAAGGTGGAACGGGGAAATTATAAACAGAAGCTGGTGAACAAGAAGCTTCAGCCTCGCACTTATTATCTAAGTAATTTGCTAATGGTAAGCTAACATTAGCTCTCCTGACAGACTAAACTGAGTAAATAAAGCTAAAGTCAGCTTCTTACTCAAATTTCCCCGTTCCACCTTAAACAATGGACCCTCCATCTAACAGTTACATTCCGGTGTTACGGTAAATTCAGTTCCCCCTGTTCCCCCTCATTGCGCACGTCAAAATCATGACGTCTTCACTTGACGCTCCTCTGCGGGGCTTAGATAGGTTTAATTAGTTTTTGTACCGTAATATCGCCCTATTCCTCACGGTAAGCGATTATCATGTTGTTTGTAAAATAACTTGTAGTTAAACATGTTTTAAAAGTATAAAATGTGTTGTTAGCAGATGTTTTAATGCCCAAACACTACGTGGGCTATCTTTCTAATGCTAGCTTTGGCTCCGTTTCAACTACTCCAAGTAACATAAGTTAGATTTATTGCGCCATTTCTGATTTAATTACCGTACATGCAGACACATTTTGTTGTTCAGACTTCAGTGATTTTAAGGTGTATTTATGTCCCATATTCTCATCAGTCTGGCTAAGTTCTCTAAATAGATTTGAAATATTTGTTGCTGAAATAAATAAACTGCATTAAGTTACACAGCACAGTAATTAGTCTGTGTTATTATTGTTAGACTACGTATCTCAGTGCACCTAGGAAGTTGGTTTCCCTGTAGTCTTTGAGGCTGAAGTCTGTTACTGTTACTGTTATGGTATTAATGTGATTCATATTTTATAATCTTTAGCACTGAGAATACAGGGGGAACATCTTTAACCAGAGCCTAAGAAAAGTGGTTTCCCCTTGTATATTACAGCTGGAGTGGATTTAAAGTACAGCAATGATGCTGGTAATCTTTACACTGAGAATACAGGGGGAACATCTTTAATATACAAGGGGAAAGCACTTTTCTAAGGCCCTGGTTAAAGATGTTCCCCCTGTTTTCTCAGGGTAAAGGTGGTATAATATGAATAAAAGTTACTGGGTGAAATGATCATGCACAGAAATAGAAAATCAGCATCATTGTTGTACATTAAATTCACTCCAGCTGTAATATACAAGGGGAAACCACTTTTCTCAGGGCTCTGGTTAAAGATGTTCCCCCTGTATTCTCAGTGTAAAAGTGGTCTGGTTAAAGATGTTCCCCCTGTATTCTCAATGTAAAGATGGTACAGATTGACTAAAACTTACTGAGTAAAATGATCTTGCACAGATATAGATTTTCAGCAGCATTGTTGCACTTTAAATCCACTCCAGCTGTAATATACAAGGGGAAAACCACTTTTCTCAGGGCTCTGGTTGAAGATGTTCCCCCTGTATTCTCAGAGTAAAGATGGTATAATATGACTAAAACTTACTGAGTAAAATGATCTTGTACAGATATAGATTTTCAGCAGCATTATTGCACTTTAAATCCATTCCAGTTATAATATTCTCAGTTCTAAAGGTGGTATAATATGAATAAAAGTTACTGTAAAGACAAGTCACATTAGTACCATAACAGTAAGACTTCAGCCTCAAAGACTATAGAGAAACCAACTTCCTAGGTGCACTGAGATACTTAGTGTACCAATAATAACACAGACTAATTACTGTGCTGTGTAATGCAGTTTATTTATTTCAGCCACAAATGTTTCAAGTCTATTCACACAACTTAGCGAGACTGATGAGAATATGGGACATAAATACACCTTAAAATCACTTAAGTCTGAACAACAAAATGTGTCT